GTAAACAGCCCCGTACACGTCTCAGTGCAGACATATGTTTTCATTTCTGTTGGGTAGATACCTAGGTGTGGATAAACCCACTGAATCATATGGTAATTCTATGTTTAACCTTTTGAAGAACTGACAGACTGTTTTCCAAAGAGGCTACAGTATTTTCAAATCCCATTAGCAGTGTATGGGGGTTCCAAGTTCTTCACATCCTCTTCCACGCTGTTATCATTCAATAAAAAAAAAAAAGAATTATTCTAGCCATCCTAGTGGGGGGTAAAGGGGTAACTTATTCTGGTTTTATTTGCATTTTCCTAACAGCTAATGATGTTGCCCATCTCTTCATGTGCTCTAGGCCAATATAACCACTATGTGGCTAATATATCTCTGGAAAAATGTCTATTCGGGCACTGTGCGTGTATTTTAATTGGGTTGTCTTTTTATTATTAGGTTGTAAGAGTTATTTATATATTCCATATGAGTGCTTTATCAGAGATAGGAGTTGCAAAAATATTCTATTCTGGGGTTATCTTTTCACTTCCTTGAAGCACAAACGTTTTTAAAAAATTTATTTAAAGATTTTATTTACTTATTTGACAGAGGGAGAGATCACAAGTAGGCAGAGAGGCAGGCAGAGAGAGAGAGAGAAGCAGGCTCCCCGCTGAGCAGAGAGCCCGATGTGGGGCTCGATCCCAGGACCCTGGGATCATGACCTGAGCTGAAGGCAAAGGCTTAACCCACTGAGCCACCCAGGTGCCCCAAAAGGTTTTAATTTTGATGATGCCCAGTTTGTCTGTTTCTTTTGTTGCTTGTGCTTTGGTGTCATCTCTAAGAATCCACTGCATATTCCAAGGTCATAAAGATTCATTCCTTTGATTTATTCTAAGGGTTTTATAATTTTACCTCTTCTATTTAGGTCTTTGATCCAATTTGAATTAATTTGACCTGAGCCGAAGGCAGAGGCTTAACCCACTGAGCCACCCAGGCGCCCCTCAGTGAGAATTCTAAAAATGAATACTGTGCCCACAACAAAAACTACATTTGCAAACCCAACACAGGGTCACAGGTTGCAACCTCTTGTTCAGAAGGCTCGGAAGAACGGACCATAAGAAGCACATTTATGTGTCCCCTCGTCCAGATAATAGGTAAAGACACGAGCCTGTGTTCCCAGTTGTCCTCCCACCAAGAGACAGAGTCAAATCTCAGGACAAACTTGTCTCTGAAAGCAAGTGTGTGTTTCCTCTTAGGAGAAATCAGAATCGGCTGTACACAACCTTCATTGTTGTGTTTGAGGCCAGAAACGTTTACCCCCAGTTCGGGCCAAGGTGTTGACGCAATCGGGACTCTCTGAAGCATGACCACCATTCCCGGGTCCACGAGTGGACCCAATCTCCCCTTGGCTTGTTTGGGGTGGCTTAAGCCGTGAGCAGATTTAAACCTTTCTATACAAGCTGTGTATACATTCCAAACACAGACCATCTATCAACTTGGGGGGAAATCTGATGGGAACAACATAAAGTTGTTTGTAGCACTGATTGATTTTTACTTGGTTAATGGCCCAAGTGAGGAAATGAGGCAGGAGATAAGCCAGGACCCACCAACTTCTGTTACTCATCTACTCCTATAGTGGCATTTGCTGTGTGGCAGGGTATTGTTCACTGGATAATTTTCTTTAAGAACATTCCCCCCCTTTTTTTAACTTAAGTGTATTTGTGAACGGAAAGCTAAGGCCAGTATCTCTTGCCATGAATAGGAGATCCCTCTTAGAAAGAAACCCAGTGAGGGTGCCTGGATGACTCAGTCGGTTAAGCATCTGCCTTCGGTTCAAGTCATGATCCCAGAGTCCTGGGATCGAGTCCCGCATCAGGCTCCCTGCTCAGCGAGGAGCCTGATTCTCCCTCTCCCGCTGCAGCTCCCCCTGCTTGTGCTCTCTCTCTCTCTCTCTCTCACTCTCTCAAATAAATAAATAAATAAAATCTTTACAGAAGAAAAAGAAGTGAGAACAGAATGATGTGAATTCCAACTAGATACTGTTGCCTGATAAAGTTCTGAGCCTGAGGTCTTGTTGTTAATCTGGGAGATTAGCAGGGGTTAAATACCTGTCCCTACTTAGCCAACTTTCTCCTTAGCTGAGCCAGACTGATTAAATGAGAACAGCAAAGAGAGGCCCTTTGTCTAGTTCTTCTGTGTCAGTATACTGGAGCTTCGTGTGCTGCTCACCTATCAGGCTTTGGGGTGCTGGACTATAAAGTGAGACAAAGCCCCAGTTCTTCCCAAGTTTATAGTTGTGGATGATAATGTCTAAGAATGAAATAACACATGCACCACCTTGCGCTGCCCCGATCATGGTAAACACGTAGTGCTTTGATGGTGCCCTTGGACTTGTTACTGCTTTGATCACTGTAACTTTATTTTCCCAGAGCAGGGAATGGGCCCTCTAGGGGAAGATGGGGGTTGGGTTAATCTGTGAACGTCCATTTTAGAGCTATGGTGGCCTGAGCAGGTACACGGAGCTTGATTTCCATCAGAGAGCAGGGGCATTGGAGGGGAAAGGCTTTAGTGCTTTGGCCAGGAAGGTGGGAGATATTACTGTGTCAGAAAATTAGGTCAGCGGTGAACACATGCTTGAGTAAGTTTAAGATCTCAGTTTAGATAGGAAAGTCTGGCGTTATCCACTTGGCTATTCAGTGGAGTACCAGGCACTATGCTGGGCTTACCAGGAATACAGAGCTTCTACCCTCAGAGGGCTTATGATCTCACAGGAATGAGAAGCCATAGGCAGAAGTAGGTATGACACAGGGTAGGAAGAGGTGAATTTCTTTCTTTGTTAAGATCCTAATGGCTGCAAATGACAGACACCCAGTTTGCATCAGCATAAGTAAGAAAGAAAGAATATTGGTTCTTGTACCTGCTGAGTCCAGGAATAAATGGCTTCAGGAGCGGCTGGATCCAGGTGTTCAAATGTTGTCAGAAATCACTCTCTCCATCTTGGGCTCTGCTTTCCCCTGTGTTGGCTTTAATTCTCAGGCAGTCTCCCCATTTGTGGCACCAAATACCACCTGCTGAGTAGTCTTAGCTAAAAAAAAAGTCTCTGCTTCAGTTATACCAGTATTGAGTCTTAACAATCCCCACTGGGGTTAATGTGAGTACCCCTCAGACTAGGGGTGGAGTCAACCTGGCAGCTCACACCAACTGAGATTGGGGGAGGGGCAGTTCCCCTGAGGACACACAGACCCGGGTGGGGTGTAGGGGGAGGAAGGATGTTGGAGCAGCAGTCACTGAACTGCCTACCACAGTGCCCCCCGAAAGGCACTGGCTCTGACAGGAGGATGAAGTTCATTCCAGCCAGGGAGTCAGGACAACTCAGGAAGTTATGGCCTTTGGCCAACCAGGGCCCCCAGGACGGAGCTGGGCTGCTCCAGCGGCATGTTCCTTCTGTGTCTGAGGAGGAGGGAGGAAATGCATACTGCCTGAGAAGCCATCAGGGGCCAGGCTCTGTGACAGGGTTCCTCTTCACAAGAACCCTGTGTCCGCATGCAGGTGAGAAACAGTCTCAGAAAGAAAGATTAGACATTCCTCAACAACCCACAGCTAGCCCCTGGTGCTCCTGGACCCGCCCTCACCCCGTTCCAGCCTGTGTCTTTCCAGATGGCACACTGGACGGCTTCATGCCTCCAAGTCCTGAACGTGGCCCACAAGGTCCTACTCACTCCTGAAGGCTCCTTCCTCCCGCTCAGAGCCTCTGCTGCCGTCCCCTCCCGAGAGCCCCACTCCTCTTCAGCTAGTTAACTCTGTGTTCTTTAACTCAGCTTCTCCGGGGACTCTCAGGCCTGGGGAGGAGGTGCTTTGATAAGAATGAGAGCTGACAGGCGCCCGGCATTTGTCCACAAGCTACGTATTTTCATTCAGTCTTTACAACAACCTCTGAGGGAGAGGTATTATTATCCCCATTTACAGACCAGGACACTGAGGCACCAGGAAAGTGACTGGCTCAAAGTCACACAGTTAGAAAGTGGTGGGGCTGAGAGTCAAAGCAGACATTCCAGCTCTGGAGACCTGGCCCTTGACCACCTTTACTGCTTCTGTGAGCTCAGGGCCCGGGGTCCCACCCCTTCCTACCATGTTTCATAACCACGCATTTTGGGCGGGTTATTTGATGACATCTGTCTCACCCACCCGCTTATTGCCTTTAATAAAGGTAGGTGATGGGGCACCAGGGTGGCCCTGTCAATTAAGTGTTAGACTCTTGATTTCGGCTCAGATCATGATCGTAGGGTTGTGAGATCGAGCCCCACGTCGGGCTCAGCGCTGGGTGTGCTCCCTCTTCCTCTGCCCCTCCCACCCCCACTCCCCAACGGTTTCTCTCTCAAAAAAACAATTAATTTAATATAAAATAAAATAAAACATAAGTACAATAAATAAAGGTAGCCAACGTATCGGGCACTTGGTCTGAGTTAGGCACCGTATTTAGCACGTTTTGTGCATCACCTAGTTTCGCCCTGTCAGTAATCCTGTAAATGAGGTACAGCTGTCCTCAGTTTGCAGCTGGAGTACCTAAGAAGTAACTTGCCCACTTGGCTAAAATTCCCAGAGGGCAGAAACCTTGTTTGTTTTGCCCATCATTGAGTCCAGAGGGACTAAGTCAGTGCGTGGCATATAGTAGGCATTCAATAAATGTTTTGGGGTTGGTTGGATGGTTGGAAGATAGATGGTAGGAAGGGAGGGAGGGAGAGAAGGGGGAGAGGGAGGGAAGAAGGGGAAGGAGGGATGGGGAAGGGGGAGAGGAAGGGAGAGGGCAGGGGGTAAGGAGGGAGGGACAGGGAGATGGGGGAACGGCGGAAGGGGAAGGAGCCGAGAGCAAGCGGGGGTGGGAGGTCCGGGATGAGAAGCCCAGCAGCTGGTGCCATGTGCCCCCCCCCCCGGGCCCCCGCTCTGGCCCGGGATGGGGACCGGGATGGGGCGGCCACGGCAGCAGGACCGACGCGGGATCTGGCTGCGGTGTCTCCGTGCAGGCGCCACGATGCTCGTGAGGAAGTGCCTGGTAAAGTGCCTGCACCGGCTGCAGAAGGGCCCGGGCTACTCGTACAAGGAGCTGCTGGTGTGGTACTGCAACAACACCAACACCCACGGCCCCAAGCGCATCATCTGCGAGGGGCCCAAGAAGAAGGCCGTGTGGTTCCTCATCACGCTGCTCTTCACCTCCCTGGTGTGCTGGCAGTGGGGTGTCTTCATCAGGACCTACCTGAGCTGGGAGGTCAGCGTGTCCCTCTCCCTCGGCTTCAAGACCATGGACTTCCCCGCCGTCACCATCTGCAATGCCAGCCCCTTCCAGTAGGTGGTCCCTGGAGTGCGGGGCTGGCTCTCCCTGCCTGCCCCCTCTGTCTCTCTCCCTCCTCATTCCTGCCTCCCCACCCCTCCCCCATCTCTCTCCTCTCTCCCCCTCTCTCCTGCCTCTCCTACTCTCCCTGCTTCCCTCCCTCCTCCTTCTTTCTCTCCTTCCCTCCCCCTCCCTCCCCCTTCCTGCCTCTCCCTCCCTGCCTCCCCTTCCATCTCTCTCCCTCCTCATTCCTGCCTCCCCCTCCCTCGTCCTCCCTCTCCCCCCTTCTCTCTCTCCTTCCTTCCCTTCTCTCCATCTTCCTTTCCTCTCCTTCCTTCCTCCCCTTCCCTCCTTTTTCTCCTTCTTTCCCTGTTTGCATCATCCGTTTGCAGCAAGTACCTTTCAAAATTCATAAACTTCCTAGGCTTAAAGAGGGGCGCCCGGTTGGCTCGGTCAGTAGAGCATGCGACTCCTGATGGCAGCGCTGTAAGCTGATAAACGGCCAGGTGGTGTGTGGACTGTTTTTTGGTTGATTTATGTAATTCTGATCCACACAACCACCCTAGGGGTGGGCACGACTGTGTTAGCCCCAATTTATAGATTTATAGGTCGGGAATTGGAGATTCAGAGAGGTGAGGGAACTTACCCAGAGACACACAGCGAACAACCGTGGCATCGGAACCCTGGCCAGATCTGACTCCAGAGCTGCCACTGTGCAACCACGTGATGGCAAGGCCTATCTATGAACAGGACACGGCGAGGCAGCGGGCCTAATTGGGGTTGAGGAGGGGCAGGGGGTCAGCCAGAGGAGAGCACCCCCAGGTATGGGCAGAAACCAGCTAGGTGGGACGCAGAGTGGCCCCAAGTGGAGGTTGGCTGCCAAGGCCCTGGGACGAGACAGTCTGGTGCGTTCAAGGAACTGCAGGAAGGGCCAGTGTGGCTGAGTCACAGGGAACATTCTTGCCTGAAACAAGGTCCTGGAAGGGAATTCATACTTCCTGATTACATGCCTAGTGATCAGAAAGTCCGTTCTTTCTAGTGATTGGGCTCCTGACTGCTTGGGTGAATCCCTGGGGCCTCTCCAGAGAGCCCGCAGTCAGCGCAGGACAACACTGGCCTGGCCTGATCCGGTTCTCCATGCTGCAGAGACCTCACCTCACCGAATCCTCCCGACAGCCCTCCAGGGTCAATATTTTCATCCCCCCACCTTGTAGACGAGAGCAGAGCCACGGAGACGCTAACTTGCCCCAAGGTCACGCAGATATCAAGTGACATGTCGGGATTCGAACCCAGTCCTCAGGCCATGCCCCACCTCGCTCAACAGCAGCTCCGGACATCCAGGCTACCCTGGCAGCACCCGTCCCCACAGCCCACAGCCCTCCCTGAGCCCTCCTCTTGCTGTGTACACAAAGGTGGCTGCTTTCATGCTCTGGGGACAGGAGGTGTCCGCAGCTGAAGCCGCTGTCAGCTCGGGCTGCTGTACCCCTTTGTAGCAGGACGTGGGTCTGTGGCCAGGCTTTAACACTCACTCCTGCAGGCTGTCCTCCAGCCAGAGCTGACCGGCCCGTGGGTGGACACATTTCTGCCAGACTGACCAGTCACCATTTCCAAGATGGGAGCTTTGGGGGGCCGAGAGAAGCTGCTGGAGCCCAGCCCCACACTCCCGACCACCTTCTCCCTCCTGAGGCTTCCTCTTCTTCCCAAAGTCGCTGCTGGAGCGTTGGAACCAGGAGCTGTTAGGCGTCTTCCTCGTTACAGTGTGCACTTCGTAAAGGAAAGGGAACGCATGTGGCTTGTTCGCTATCCTATCCTCTGTGCTTTGCGCAATGCCTGGTACCTAGTAGGCGCTCACTGCATACTCAGTGGATGAAGAAGTGAGCTGGTGGGTGGAAGGAGGCACGGTCACCTGTGGTGGGGAGAGAGGCAGGGGCTTAGGTGCAGCGCTCTCCTCACACATGGTGGCTGGCAGCTGCGCTGGGGGGGGGGGGCCCAGACTGGGGTGGTTCTCAGCTGCCCTTCAGCTGCCTTTGCCCCCCTGACTGGCCCCCTCCCCACCCAGGTATTCTAAAGTCAGGCATTTGCTGAAGGATCTGGATGAGCTCATGGAAGCAGTCCTGGAGAGGATCCTAGCTCCGGAGCAGAGCTATGCCAACGCCACTAGGACCCTGAACTTCACCATCTGGAATGACACGCCGCTGGTTCTGATCGACGAGCAGAACCCCCACCGCCCAGTGGTCCTTGACCTCTTTGGGGACGTCCACAATGGCTCAGCAGATAGCAGCCTAGCTCCAGGAAGGACCTGCACTGCCCAGGGGTGCAAAGTGGCCATGAGACTAGTAAGTGGGCCCCAAGCACACATGGAGCAACGGACCCTACTCAGGGAGGCTGAGGGGAGTTTCTTTCCTTTAATAATCTGGGTCTGGTTGGGGAATCTGGTTGGGGAAAGGAAGGCTGGAAGCCAGTGCCCATTTTGTATGTTTACAAAGTTTTGATTTTTTTTTTTTTAATAGAAAGAGCTGGTATGTTAGTCAAGACACTGTTGGATGCTATTGACCCAGGTCAAACTAGCTTAAGCAAAACAAGGAATTCATTGGCTGATGTAGTGAGGGGTAGAATGAGTTCAGGTATGGCTGGATCCAGGCATTCAAATGCTGTCATCAGGACACTACCTTTCTCTATTTTTGTTCAGCTTTTCTCCCCAATGACCTTACTCTCTGTCAGGCTCTCTCCATGCAGAGGGTCTTGGCAATGCCAGACATACACCCCATCAGCTCAGCACTCTCCCCCGAGAAACAGAACTCCTGTTTCCCAATGGCCCCAGCAGAAGTCCTGGGAGGGACTCATTGGGTCACATGCTCATTCTGCAACCAATCACTGTGCGCTGGAGAATGCGCCCTCATGATTGGCCAGTCCTAGGTCATGCGCCCTGGAGCTGGGGTGATGTCAGCCTCTACCACGTGGACACCGTGAGGCAGAAAAGGGTGCTTTCCTGAAGAAGGAATTAAGTCTTACTATCAAAAGACAAGGGCATAAGTATTGGGCAGGTGAAAACCCACAGCAGCGCAGTGCCGTCCAGTGCCAGAGCGTAACTGCCCTGGGCGGGGCTGCTGGGATGCCTGCCAGCCTGCCAGGGGTTAGAAGCTTCCCTGTCTGTGCCTCTTAGTCTAGGGAGCTCCCTAACTGACAGATCCCTGGCCCACACTCCCAGGGAGGCTGAAAGGGCCTAGGCATCTGTATTAACAGCCTCCCTGGTGATTCAGATGGTCACCCTTGGTTGGGAACCCGGGCTGTGGCCATACACTGCGCAGGAGGAGGTCACTGACCTCTACCGGGTCAGGGCTCCCCCTATGTCTCTGCAAAACCAGCGAACAGTTAGAGGCTCCAGAGTCCCCACGCCAACTCTGATCCTGTGCCCTACTAATTTTTGATGCTGTTACCTGGCTTCCCACGTCCTGCTCCTCGTCTGTGAAGCAGGCTTATTCCCACTGGCTGCCCCAGCTCGCGGGTTCAGGCCCTATGTGTGTGCATGTGGTGCATGGTGTGTGGGTGTGTGTGTGTGTGCGCGTGCGCGCGCACACACGCCCATGTGTAGTGGGAGGAGTCCTGCTGGCCTCAGTTTACTCACGATGATGGAGTAGGGTGACTGTACAAATCGAATGCAGTAATAGAAAGCCCTCAGAACACAGTCCGGGACAGAGTGAGTGTCAAGTACTATCGTCATCTCCCTAAGGAGAGAGGAGGAGACCTCCAAGAATGGGCCCAAGGACAGTGCCCACAGCAGGCCCTGGGGAGGGGACTCTCAGAATGTGGAGAAGCTCCTCTGGCCTCCTGGGTTCCAGAAGAAAGGCCCGCTGTGAGGGCCGATAGAGGCAGAGTGGCCAAGGCCAGAGTCCTGGGGCTGCATCCATGCTGTGTCTACAACAGTGACCTGGGCGTTGTGCTGGGCCGGCCGTGGTGAGGGGGACGGGGGCCCTGCACGCCTCACAGGGCTCAGGCTGACAAGGCCCAGGTCCTTTCACTGGTGAGCCGGAGGGAGCCTTGAGCCCTTGAGTCCTTCATGGTCCTCACGGCCCCCAAGGAACGCCTCTGGAAGTCTGCAAGGATGCCAGGAAAGAAGAAAATGGAGGGTCCTGGTGTGTCTGTCTGTCTGTGGGCCACAGGAGCATGACTGTGGGTGAGCTAGGTATGTGGGCGGGTGAAAAAGTTTGGATATGAGTGTGTGGTTGTGACCGTGACATCGTGGGGCTGTGGATGTCAGGACGTGGGCTGTGTCTGTGTGTATGCGTGTGCACGTGCGTGTGCGTACTCGCTCAGGCATTAGGCTAGTATACGGGAGGCCGGCGACAGTGTGTGAGACCCTGTGACCGCGCAGCCGTGTGTGAGGGGACAGCCCCCGAGCCCTGCGAGTGTGCGTGTGAACACGTCCCCCACTGGCTCTGCAGCCGCTTGCCCCCGCGCCAAGGTGCCGCCAGGGGAGGGGCAGCTGGCCCTTGGGGACGGTGGCAGGGGCCCAGCCAGCCGGCCTGCGCCCACCAGAACCCCTCCTGGCCCCTGCAGTGCAGCCTCAACGGGACCGCATGCACTTTCCGGAACTTCACCAGCGCCACCCACGCCGTGACGGAGTGGTACCAGCTGCAGGCCACCAACATCTTCTCGCAGGTGCCCACGCACAAGCTGGCGGAGATGGGCTACCCCGCCGAGCGGCTGATCCTGGCCTGCCTGTTCGGGTCCGAGCCCTGCAGCTACAGGTGAGAGCTGCCCCGGCCCCCCAACACCCCTCCCTGCCCCATCACAGCCCGGCACAGCCACAAACCAGCACGGTGTCCTGTGCCTCGGGGTCTCTGGTCGCATTTCCCGGAGGCAAAGCCTGAGACGGGGATGTGTGGAGGGTCCATGACATAGGAGGGAATCTGTATTTCCTTTACATGTCTGTAAAGGAAAGCGGGATGAGGAAGGAGGAAAGAGCTCAGGGAGGCCGTGGTCCCAGGTGACATCGAGGCACCATCCCTGGGGCATCAGGAGCATTAGCCACACAGGACGGTCCTCCCGCGGGGCTGGCCTTTTGTCCCTGCCGCATCAGTACCTCGTGGGGGATGGGCTGACATCCCCTCACGTCCCAGGCAAGGGGGCTGCAGAGGGGCCAGCTATGAGCCGTTGGCCTCCAACACCCAGTGGCTGAGGGACCTGGGCGGGCAACCCAGCACCTCCTGCCCCGCTTCTCCTCCCAGACCGTCCCCCCACCTCGCCTTCGCGGGACGAGAGCTGAGTTGGCTCAGCTCAGCACTTAGAACCCGGCCCTGGGAGTGTTCGCCGGCATCCCCGACAACCCCCCAAGGTTGAGAGGAGGGCAGAGGGAGAATAACCTTCACCCAAAAGCCTGCGGCTCTCGCAACGGGTCCCCAGGTGCCCCCCCTTCACCACCCCTGCTCTGACGCGCCGAGCCCCTGTGTCTCTGGGCCCAAGTCTCCACCCAGGCAGAGCTGCCTCGGCCAAGTGGCCTCCAGGGCCTCGTGACCAGGTCTCTGCGGGGCCATGCGTGCCGGTGTCCTGTTAGTCCGGGCCCCACAGCCTCGCACTTCGGGCCCCTGGAGAAGTCCACGGAGTCCTGCCACATGTCATGAGTGACAGGCTTCCGGTGTCACCCTCCCGGGGTTGGTGCCTGACCCCTGCATGCTCTCTCCACCCATGAGCCTCCAGGAAGCTCTACTGAGAGTCTGCTGAATGCCACGGGGACCCTCTGTCCCCCCAAACACACAGGGGCAGGCACTCCGCAGGCAGCGCCAGGGACTCCGGAGCCCTGAGGCGCCAGATCTGCGCACCCGGCCGCGTGGTGTGAGCTAGAAAGGTGTGGCCCGCAGGCGGAAAAAAGCAGGCCAGTGTCCCTGGTGACAGGAGGCGTCCTGCTGGCGGCGTGGGTGGCTGCTGGCTGGCTGGATGCCAACCCCTCACTCTCAGCCAGTGGCCTTTGCTCAGCGTGCCCGTGGTCAGCCACTCCTGGCAGCCCTCCCAGAAGGCCGCAGGTAGCCGGTGGGCCAGCGTGTCATATTGGCGCGGTCACCTTTGCCCTCTCGGCTACAGAGAGGGGTCAGGCTCTGCCTTCAAGCCTGGGGCCCTTCTGCTCAGTGAGGAGAGACCTGGCTGTTGGGAGGATGGTGAGGTAGGAAGGGGAGGGGTCCATTAGGGTCTACTGCGTTCTACCCTCAGGTCCCTGGGGCCTACATTGTGTACAAGGCATGGCTCCATCCTGGGCAGCTCCTGCCCTGGCACCACAGAGCAGTTCCCATGGGGGCCCCGGGATGGAGAGTGAGGAACGGGGGGTCCCCCAAAGAAAAGCGAAGGAGCTTTAGCAGAGAAGGGGGAACAGATGGTGTTGGGGCAGGCAGAACACCCAGCGTCAGCCGTGCCACTTCTGTGGTATGGCTGTGGCCAGGGGTTAGCTCTAGTGAGGGGGTCAAGGTGGGGCTGTGTGGTTAGACCACTGGGTTCAGATCCCTGCTCTGCCTTACAAGCCATATGACCCTCAACAAGTTTAAACTTGATGGGTCTTGGTTTTCCTCTTCTGTGAAATGGGGTAGTGACATGCCTACTCAGTGGGGGTATTTTGAGTATTAAATGAGGTGATGTGCCCTCAATAGCACTGGCCTCAATAAATAATAGCTATTACTGTCATTAAACCCACATTTGATCAGGAACTCACTATCCAATAATAATGCTAATGTGGATCGAGCCCTGCTGCTGTGTCAGATGCTATTCTTAGCCCTTCACAGGTGTAAAATTAATTTAACCTTGGCCACAAGCCCATGAGAAAGGTACTCCTATGTCAGCCCATTTTATAGGAGGCAACCACAGCCCAGAGAGGTGAAGCAACGTCTTGGAGGTCACACAGCTGGTGAGTGGCAGAGCCAGCAGTCTGGGCCATCAGAAAACCAGATCATCATCTGCCCTCCCTACCCACGTCTCCTAAGCCTGTTCTTTGTCACCTGCCTTCTTGAATCAGCCTCAGAGTGGTGCCAGAGGACACATACCGCCCTCTGCCCTCCCAGCGCCGGGCTCCAAACGCTACGTCTCCACTTCCTCACTGTCCTTCTGACTCCATCCTCTCTCCCTCGACTGTGACAAAGGCTCAAGAAATAGCAGCTGTAATTAGGGAACAAGGAGCCACATTAGGACCCCGATGCCACAGTGCCTGGATTTGAATGCCCACTCTGTGTGCTGCTGGGCACGTTTCTTGGCCCCTCTGGGCCTCAGTATTCTCATCTGGAAAATGGGGATGGTGACATGGCCTCATAGGGCTATAGTGGGGATGGAAGGACATAGATGGTGTGTTATAGAAGGTCCTTGATTTGGGTTTATACAGATTAGATGGGTTTGGGGGAAGAACGGCACAAAGGTAAGGTGCCCACCTCATTACAGCCTCCTCCAGGAGGGACACCCCCCAGGATATTGACCTTTTTCACTTGGTTAAGGGACGGGGTGGGGGCCGCCTTCCCTTCCACGTGGAACAAATCATGAAGTGGAGCCCACACTGTGGGGGAGATAGGGTGACAGGGAGAAAGGAGCAATTGGCTCCTGGTCTCCTGGAGGCAGGAATACAGACTATTTGGAATTCTTCTGTGGGGAAGAGTTCCGTCTGGCCTGCTCTTTCATGCTACCGACTCGTATATATTTGCATTGTGATCCCATCCCACATTATTTATTTTCTTACTCAAATTCTTCCGGCTTTGGATAGTAGCAGTGCCTTGCATTGGGCTCCTGTGTCTCAATGAAACATCCCCGTCTCTCTCTCTCTCTCTCTCTCTTTTTTTTTTTGTCTATTTCCTTGCTTTCTGGCCCCTCATGGTGCCTCAGCCCTAGAAGCTGCCGTTTCGCTGAAGGAGCTCTGCTTCCTTCTCCTGGAGAACGGTATTTAGAAACCGAGATCTAGGCATGTATGCACCAGTAGCAGCTTCTTATTACTGCTTCAGGGACCGGCTAACTAGCTTCCGCCCTGGGAAACCTTTCCCAACCCCTACCACACAGTACCACCGCTGTTATACTTCTTCCTGCCAGGATGCTCTGCCTCTCAGTCTTTTCTGGAGGTTTTGCGCCGGTCTGGGGCCACATGCCTTACGCTTGTCCCAGGAAGGTGTTTTGGGAAAAAGCCTGGCTCTGGAGCCAGAGTCGGCGGGTGCTGGGAGGTAAAGGGCACAGTCAACAAGCAGAGAGTTGGCACACACAGCGAGACCGAGAGCACAGCCCTGGGCAGGAGGGGATCTGGCCACGCCCTGAGTGGCGGCCGCCTGCTCCCGGGCCGCAGATGTCCAAGACGGTTTCTTGGGAACACTGTGTCCCCACATGCCTGGGGCGGGGTCTCTCCTTCTAGAACAGTGCCCGGCTTCAGCCGGTTTGCCATGCTCTCTTCCTCCTGTGGCCACAGCCCTGATCATCTGCAGAGGAGACTCATTAGTACCCGCCCAGAGCTATTCCTTCCCTCTGGGCCTTCTCCCGCACGATGCTGCCAGCCTGATGTACCCTTTCTCCTCTCTGTCCCCGAGGCTGCTCGCCTACCTCTCAGCCATCCTTAAAAGTCTCAGCTCAGGCCTCCCCTCCTCCAAGAACCCTTCCATGACCCACACGCCCACATTCAGCTCAGCGAGAATGAGGTGTCACTCCTCCAAGCTTATCTCTGTTGATCCACTTATCCCATATTATAATTTACCCAACAAATATTTACTGAGTGTCTGTCTAGTGCGGGCCAGGCTCTGAGGACAGAGTGTGTAACCCAGCACTTGCTGAGTATTTCAAGGCGGTCGCCATCCAGCCGTCGCCTTGGTCCTGTGGGACGGGAGCTGCTAACTATCCCGGCGTGACAGGTGGGACCGGCGAGGCTCAGAGAGCCCAAGCTCACCAGTTATTCGGTGACAAAGCCGAAACTGGAATCCAGACAGGCTGGCTCCCAGGCCCGGGATCTTAGCCTCCCAATGTGATTCCTCCTTCAAGACAGACAACTGCCCTCCCTGTGCTCACCTTCTAAATCAGGAGGCCATTGATAAGCAGTTAACTATAAAGAAGATAATTTCCAATTTGGACTCATGCTATCGGGGAATAAGCAGGTAGAAATGATCCAGTGACTGGGGAGGGAAGTGACTTTGCCCGGAGAGTGCAAGAGGGTGGGTCTCAGAGCAGGTGAATCCCAAAGAATGAGGAGAAGCCACTTACTGGGCTAACTGGTCAGAAAATATTCCGGGCACCCAGGGACCTTGAATTTGGAAACATCTCAGAGGGCTGCTGGAGTGTAACAGACAAGGAGGAGAAGACCAGCGTAGGTAGGGCCTTGGTGTTTTCTTCTGTGAACTGCAAGGAGCCTCTGGAGGGCTCCCAGTGGAAGTGTACCCTTCTCCAATTCACAGTTCAAACCATCGCCCTGACCGCCATGCAGAACAAGAGGGGAACAAGAGGGAAAGGACTAGAACTAGAACAAGACTACTAGAAAGACTACTATTAGAACAAGAGGGGAAGGACAGAGGCTCCTGTAGGAGGCGAGCAGGGCCGGGCGCTGGTGGCTTGAACCCTGTTGCAGGGGGAGCTTCAGCCATGGAGAGAGGCGGACAAGCCAGAAGCACATTCTGGAAGGGCAGCATGGACAGAACGCTGCTCCAAGTCCCTCGCCATGCAGGGTCCCCCCGCCACACGGTGACTGTCCAGGGCAGGACTCTCTTGTTCACCTCAGTTGTGCCCAACCCAGCATCTGCCTCAGTAAACACCTGTGGAGTGAAGAAATGTGATTTTGTCCTGATTTCCCTTTCACTGTTGAAGACACTAAAGGCCAGACATGGAGTAAGCCGTTCACATGTGCCCAGGGTCAGCTCCCAGCTTGGATGTGGCAGCCTGCCCAGGATGCATCTTGTGTTCTGCCAGCGCTGGGGGTTGGGGGAGTGGTTGTGGGGCACAGGTGGAAGGAATGGTGTCCTAATCTGAACATTGGGGCAAATAACAGCTGACCTCACCATGGGATTACTTTGGGGATCGAATGAGAAAATGCATGCAGAACTATGCAGCCCCAGGCTGGCCCCTAAAAGTTGCACGGTCAAGGTTTCCAAATCCAGGGCTTAGAAGACCATGTTGCAATCAGGCCCCTTTCCTTCCTGTTTTTAATAAGACAAGAAAAACAAAATAAAATCGTGCAAAGACATTCGTGAAGCGATTCCTAACAGAGACCCTTGGACACACCTGCAGACAGAACAGAGCATGATGACCTTACAGGGATGAACCGTCTTGATTCCAGAGCTGCTACTCTTTCCCCCTCCTGTCCATTCTGCAGCAAAGCCCAGACTCCAGGGTCTTTCACCTGTAAAAAGCTTAGAATGTATCTGCAAGAGAGAAAGACTTTTTTTTTTTTTAAACCAAACCACAGTGCAATTATCCCACCTGAAAAAAGAAAACTAACAATAATTCCTCAATACCATCAACTATCCAGTCACGTCCACGCTCATCAATGTCCTACCTTTTGCTCGTCTCTGTGTGTGAGTCAGGATCTAACTAAAGGCAGCATGTCGTGGTTGCAACCCAAGTCTTTAAAGTTTCTGTTCATCTGTAGGTTGTCTCCCTTTTCCCTCTCTCACAGGGTGTTTGTTGAAGAAACTGGGATATTTATCCTGTTGCCTTCCCCAAGGTCTGGATTTTACAAGTTGACTTTTCCTTGGTGTCTTTGAACCTGTTCCCCTGTCTCCAGTATTTCCCGTAGATGGGGGTTACAGACAGATGTTCGGTCCTGTTCGGGGAGGATTTTTATGTTTTACTGGCAAGGCCACCTCCTCAGCAGCCTGTGCTCGTCCATCAGGAGAGGAATAGCACTGGCCACCACTGGTGGGTGTTGCCCAAAGCCATTCATTCATTCAGGATGCAAAATGTTGATCCATTCACTGCCTCTCCAAAGAATAAGCTGGGTCAAACCAGAACTGTTTTAACAACTATATGACAAGGAAAAGAAAAAAAAAAAAAAAACAGATGGAGGGAGCCATAGATTAGAAGAAACTCGAAAGACCCATGAACCAATCACGTTAGCCTCATTTGAATCCCAATTTAAAAATTGTAAAAACAAAAATCGACACATAGGAGACGATTAGAACTTCAAACTGATTATTTAACGATATGAAGGAATTTTTGTTAGTTATATTTAACAGTATTTTTAAAAGAGTTCTTACTTTTCAAGGTACATCTGGACATGTTTACAGACAAAATCATGATGTTTGAGGTTTGCTTGAGAGCCACATGGAAGGGAGATGGGGCACGGTGGGTAGGGATGAAGGGTTCCTTAGTGGCTCTGCGGTGAGGATTCCTGAAGCTGGTGGTGGACTTCACTGTCTCGACTTTTTTGTGTTTGAAATGTTCTGTATCCAAAAAAGCCTTTTTTAAACTGAATTCTTTGAAACTGCAGGATACCATTACTACTGCCATGAGCATCTTTATTGGAAATGTTTCTTGTGGTAGTTGACTTACTTCTTTAGGAAACATTTCCAGACATGAGAGAGGACCCTGTGTAGGGTCCCCACGTTCCTTCTTATAAAGCTGTGCCTTTCCTCAGCCTCTGGGGTGCCCTCTCCTGATTCATCCCCTCTCCCACCCACCGTGTCAGCCACTTCCCTCTCTGTGTGAGTTCCCAGCTTGGGCAGCGCACCTGGCTGGGTTCCAGGACTCCCCTCCACCCTCTGTCCTCCACCCTGCGTCCTGGACAGCAGATGGTGTCAGGGAGGCACCCGCTGGGGTGGGCCCTGCTCTCCAGCTGATGGTGTTTCTTTTAGGAACTTCACGTCCATCTTCCACCCAGATTATGGCAACTGTTACATCTTCAACTGGGGCATGACCGAGAAGGCTCTCCCTTCGGCCAACCCCGGAGCTGAGTTTGGTAAGTCTTGGTTCACCCTGGGGCCAGAGCCAGGGGGCTTGAAATCCCCACCACGCAGGGCTAAAAGACCCAGTGACCAGGAGCTGTTAAGGGGCAGGCCCGGGGTGAGACAGCAGGTGGCCCATGGAGGGACGGCCACGGTTGGGTCTCTTCTGTGTGCACAGAGCTGTTCCACTGTCCCTGCAAAATGAACAAACCCTTTCAAAATTTTAGAAAGAAAGGAAGAGTTTTATTCAAGCCCAAGTTAGGAGAGCTGCTGCGGATACACAGTCTTTACCAGGAAGAGGGTGCTCTGGGAAGGGAGTGTTTGGAGCGGGATTATATATGGTTTTTACATAAAGGGTTACAAATTATCATGAGCAAGGCCGTTCCAGAAAGTTATAGACATTATCTTGTGTTTTTAGTATGTGCAAGTCTATATGCCTTTAATTTTATGGGAACCAGGGTTTGGTTTTTGTTTTTTGTTGTTGTTGTTGTTTTTTTCCCTTATGTTTGGAATGCTCCTTTTGATTATTTGTTTTAACAGAGGAGATGTACAATGTGGGCTGCCCGGGGAGGAAATAGAGCCTCCGAGGTTTTGAAGGAGTCATTTTGACCTTGGTGACTGTTAAACTATAGTTTCCCTTGGGAGCCCAGGAGCAGGGCCCATGAATGGTAGAACAAAAATCGCCTCTATCACCCTCCCAGAACTCCTGTAAATGTCTGGGCTAGGGACCAGTGCTCCCATTTCCCTGCTGAGCAAGGCAAGGATTCAGAAGAAGTACAGCTCAGGGATCAGAGCCCAAGCTCCTGGGCCCAGATGAAACCCGGCCCCGCCACTGACCCCCACCCCCCTATCCCCCCAGTGAGCCTGAGCTCAAGACTGAACTTCCGGAAGCCCTGGTTTCCCCGTTCAAAGACAGTACATGGTAGCCCAGGAGAGCCCAACAAGTACACCTCACAGAGTCATTGTGACATACTACCATCGCCCACTTAACACAGAGGCTGGCGAGCCCTACGTGCTTGGTATATGCTGAATAGTCTTTGAAGGCTTAAAGAACTTGCCCAAGAACACACAACTGGGCCATGGCAGAGCCCGTACTCTTACTGAGTCTCACTGTGACACGGTTCTTGAGCAAGACAGAGAGGGGGTGAAGGAGTAAACAGAAGCCAGTAGTGGTTGATGATAGAGGCCACTGTGTGGGCCCGTTTCTGGGGAAAGAGTCATGGTGGCCTCAGGAGGGCTTCCGCGATCCTTCCTCCCCTACCCCATCAGCCTTGGACCTCCCCGGCCTCTGGGAGGCAGGCTGTCATTCTAAGTGTCAGGGCTGTTGGTCAAGAGGGGCCCAGAGGGGATGCTGACCGCCCCTCACCCAGCCCCTGTGCCCCCGAGATCACCATGTGTCACAGTGGTGCTGGTCAACTTGCTTCACAGGGACAGACAATTCAGACCAAGGAGCTCAGCTGCCTGTGATAGAACCTCAACACTGCCCCTTCTTCCCTGGGTGACCCTGAACAAGCCCTTTCCCTTCTCTGTGCCTCAGTTTGCTCACCTGTAACATGGGGATTGTAATGCCTTTGCTCCTGGGAGCACCAGTGGGATTGTGTACAGAATAGCGTTTGGCCCAGCACTCGGCACGTAGCACGTGAACGCTAACCTGTTGTCCTAGCCACTCAGCAGAGCCCTCTGGTACATAAGATATGGGGTCTAGTCTCTGCCCTCAAGAAGGGAGCCATCCGGGGCCCCTGGGTGGCTCAGTGGGTTAAAGCCTCTGCCTTCGGCTCAGGTCATGATCTCAGGGTCCTGGGATCGAGCCCCACATCAGGCTCTCTGCTCAGCAGGGAGCCTGCTTCCTCCTCTCTGCCTGCCTCTCTGCCTACTTATGATCGCTGTCAAATAAATAAATAAAATCTTTAAAGAATGTTTTAAAAAATAAAAAAATGTTAAAAAAGAAGGGAGCCATCCAGTAGGGAAGGAAGACAGACAATAAAAGAGTCATATAAGTGAGGGACGTGCTTGGGAGGACATTTCCAAAGATAGGAGATCTAGTCTTGGTAGTCAGGGAAGGCGTCTGGAGGAAGCGACACTTGGGCTGAGATCCAAAGGAAGAGCAGGAGGTTCTATGGGAAGGGTGAAGGCGCGGACATAATTCCAGAGGAAGGGAACAGCATTCTTGAGGGAACAGCATTAGCAAGGGCCCAGCAGCAGGAAGGAGCTTAGAAGCCAACAGGGATTGAATGAGAAGAATGATGTGATTTGAGGTGGGGCAGGGCAGTCCTGCTCCCCTGCCACATGGAAAAGAGATTGTGGAGCTGGGGGGAGCCAGGGTGGCTTGATCTAGAAAGGGGGCCTTGGAGAAGGCAAGAAGTCTCAATTTCCGCAAGGCAGAACCAGCTTTCTAGGGGGCTGTAGAGGTCTCCTTGGCAGGGTCGGGAGAAGGCCTGGACAGGTGGGTGATGGGGAGCGAATTCAGGCAGCCCTCGGCCTCACCTTCCCACAGGTCTGAAGCTGATCCTGGATATAGGCCAAGAGGACTATGTGCCCTTCCTCACGTCCACGGCCGGTGCCCGGCTGCTGCTCCACGAGCAGAGGTCCTACCCCTTCATCAAAGACGAGGGCATCTACGCCATGTCAGGGACAGAGACATCCATCGGGGTGCTGGTGGTATGGCTGTTGCCTGAGCGCAGCCTGAGCGGGGCTGAGGGTGGGAGCCTCCTTGTGGTCCATTCCTGCCTTGTCTGCCGGCTGGAACCCCCACCAGGACCACCATGCTGTGGGGGAGGGTGGGCACTCTCTGGCACCGACTGGGCCTGTGGCATCCCCCCTGACCCCCGTGCTTGCTGGGAGGGAGGTACAAAGGGGGCTTCCGGGTGGGGGGGCGGGCGGGGCCTCCAGGAGCAACCTCTCTGGACACAGGACAAGCTGGAGCGCATGGGGGAGCCCTACAGCCAGTGCACCATGAATGGCTCCGACGTTCCCGTGCGGAACCTCTACAGCGACTACAACACGACCTACTCTATCCAGGTGGGAAGACAGTGTGGGCCTGGGGACCTGGGAACCCTGGCAGTCCTCATCAACCAGGCCCAAGGCCTCCGGGCTCGGGGGAAGCTGGTCCTGGCAGGACTGGCTGTACTGGATTTGTGTGGGTGACCACAGGGTAGTTTGGTGGGTTTTGTGGCCTTTGGGACTAAGCCGGGCCTGTCCCTGGGTGCTCACCAGGGCCCAGGGCCAGCCACTGCTCGTCCCCACCAGGCAGCTGTGCCCTTGGGGATGCCCAAAACACAGGGATCTCACTCTGGGGTCTCCCAAGAAGAACGCTTGTGTGGGAGAGAGGCTGTGCTGAGGGCTCGCGTGTATTACATTATCCTTTCGTCCCGTCTACACCCCACGGGACAGTAACAGCATTTATTATACATATCACTTACTTGCTACAATTCCTAATATCCCGAGAGGATCCGGCACATCGTGCACTGGGCAGGCACTGCTGGGGCCCTTTACGTGATTCATTCAATCCTCAGAGCGACGCTAAGATGTAGAGGATATTATAGGAATGAGGAAATCAGGGTGTACAGGCCCCAGTACAAAGGTCTCATCACCTTACCTGAGAAGTCTCTCTTCGTATCCAGCCTCGATCTCCCTTGCTATAGCTGGGGCTTCCCTCTCGCCCTGACCTTCAGGGGCAGCCTGGGGGGCCTGTCCCAAGACCCAGCCCCGGTGGAGAGGACCATCTAAAGCTTCCACACAGGTGACGAACGTGACCCTGGCTGACCCTTCTCCCCCAGCCTGGGCGGCCTTTGCAGATAAGGAAACTGAGGCTTGATGAGGGGAACTCCAGGGCCTGCCTCTGTGCCTGCGAGCTCTGAGCATGGTGTGGGCTTCCCTTTTGCCCCAGTTCTGAAAATCGCGCACCACCCCACCCTCCCGCCCACCCTGTCCAGCTGACCTGTGCGCCCCACACCCTGACCCGGCTGGTTTGGCCGCCTTCTATCCGGAGGCACTTCTGCCTACAATGGGGAACTTGGGGGAATCTTCCTTCTGAGCTAATAAAGGCATAGACAGGCAGCATAGGGAGGTGGGGAGCATGGAGAGGGGGGCCACGGAGACATCCATCAGGCCCAGCCTTAGAGACCCCGTTCCAGAAAAACCTCAGCTCTTGCTTTGTCCCATGCAGCCGTCCCGCTGGTCAGAGACCTTGGCAAAGACCAAGGCCCTGGTCGGGTACTCTGCTTGCATCCTCCCACCCGCCCAGACTCTGTCGTGGGGCCTGGAGAGGATTCCTCCTTTCCAGATAAGACGGTGAGGTCTGGAAGAATGCGAGACCTTGGTCCCAGATCAGAGCTCCTCGTCCGACCCCGCTGGCCCCCTCGCTCCCGCTCTTCTCCTCCCGGCTGTGCCCATAGGGAGGCCACGGCCCTGTCAGGGAGAACAGGACAGGGCGTGCTAAGTTGGGAAGGAGCAGCTTGGGGAGTGGGAGAAGCTGGGACGGAAGGGGCCGGCTCCGTGCCTGGCGGGGCAGAGCCCAGAGTAGGGGATAGCAAGGGTTGGAGCAAGGGTTCCTCCACACCCCGGACTCGGGAAGCTGGACAAGGGGAGACACAGGAGTACCAGCCGCTTCTGTTCCCCATGTGGTGCCAGGCCCCCTTGACCTTAGCCCACAGGGGCAGCCGTCACCCTGCTCCACCCAAGCGCACTGGAAGCAGGTCAGGGTGACCTGAGACCCCCGCACGAGTGGAGAGTCATCCCACGCAGCCCCGGGGTGCCAAATCCACTCTTCCTCCACCGTCCCCACGAGGGGACACTGCTCCATCAAGGCTGGCAGCCTGGTTATTAATAACTACCAAAAGTTGGCTGTGGCATTTGGACCAAGCCACCCCTCCCCACGTCCTGTGTGGGTCTCCAGCTCTGCAAGGTGGCAGGGCCATCCTCAGAGAGCTGGGTCTGGCCCGAGTCCCTCCGTGGGGACCAGGGACCGAGCAGCACAGCCACGCCCAGGCTGCATGGGGTCAGAAGGTGCAGCTCCTCGGCCAGAGGGACCTCTCCCCTGACTCCCCGACTCCCCTGGCCTCGGCATGACCTGCCCTGGGCCCCTACCCTTTGGGGCTGGGACAGGGCGTCGCAGTCACGGCTGTGTTCTCCCGCCCTCCTACCGCAGGCCTGTATTCGCTCCTGCTTCCAAGAGCACATGATCCAGAACTGCAGCTGTGCCCACTACCTGTACCCACTGCCCCGCGGGGAGAGATACTGCAACAACTGGGAGTTCCCAGACTGGGGTGAGCGCAGAGTCCTGGGCACTCACTGCTGCCCCGGCCAGCTGGGGCTCTGACTGCAGAGCCAGGGGCAGAGTTCCATGTCCTCAGCAGGGTCAGGCGGGGTGGTGGTGGCCAGGCCTGCACCTCCCCGGTCTGCAGCGCCCCCGCCCAGGCTCCCCTCCCTCCTGTGTATGTGTGCCACGTAAAGGTCTGCACACGCGTGAGCTTGGCGTGCGGTGGCTGGCGAGGGCACGTGTGTGTGTGCGCGTGCACGGGAGAGGGCATTTGTATGTGTGCACAGGAGCACTCGGGACCGAGTCTGCATGTGTGTTCACGCATGGGTGTGATTGCTTCCAGTGCCTGCAGCTGTGCACGCTGGTTTGCGTGCCCACATGTGTGTGTGTGCGTGCGCGTGCATGCAACCACAGTGCCACGTGTACGAGCCTCGGCATGTGTGTCCGTGTGCGTGTGAGCTCACAGGGTCTCTCTGTGGGCTGCTGGGTGGGGAGACTGAGGTGACCTCCAAGAGTTTGAAGCCACAGGAGGAGCAGCCCTGGAGTCCAAACATGATGGATGTTTTTGGAAGCAGAGAGAGTCCCACCACCTCATAAAACCAATGAAAAATGCAGCCAAGAGGGGAAACTCTCCCTTCCCTTCACCCATCACTTCATGCATGACCCCATCACCCTGCCCACCAGCCCTAAGTGGGGATGACAGAGGGAAAACTGCTGTCATCCTGCTGAGCTGAGACTGGGATGTTTGGGTCGAGGCTCCCCCAAGCCAGGCTGGGGCAAAATGGCTGGACATGGGGGGGCAGGGGGTGCCGGATGGGAGGGGATGACCCTTCATGGCAGGAGAGCTTGGACAGAGAAAACACCCCCTCCCACTGAACCACTGGCCTTGGGTGGCCATGGCCAGGAAGGCAGGGGACAACCAGAGGCCCAAAGGGGGAGAGGAAAACATCTAGAAAGCCCTGCCTCTAACTCTCCCTGCCCCCCAACCCTCATCCTTTTCAGCCTATTGTTACTCACGCCTGCGCATGAGTGTGGCCCAGAGGGAGACCTGCATCAACATGTGCAAGGAGTCCTGCAAGTGAGTGGGGGGCACGGAGAATGGGGGGGCAGGGGTCGGGGGGGGGCATGGGGACTGGGGAGCCGGGGTGGGGGGCCGCGCTGGCAGGGACAGCGACAGCCACAGGACTGCCTTCTCTCTTCCAGTGACACCCAGTATAAGATGACCATCTCCATGGCCGACTGGCCTTCCGAGGCCTCTGAGGTGAGGCGGTGGAGTGGCCGGGCTCCTGGCCGCCCACCTTTGGGCTGAGGGACAGGTCTGGGCATAGGTCTGCAGGCTGTTTGTCCTTCCACTTGTGTCTCCCAAGGCGCTGTGCTGGGGACACAGCAGTGAAGGAGAGAGGCACAGCCCTTTGCGCTTAGGGAGCTTACGTTTTAGTGGCAGAGATGGACCATACACAAAAATTAGATCATTTCCAAGTTGATGACGGTAGGAAGTACACAGGGTGAGCGGAGAGTAACCAGGGGAGGCCACTTTAGACAGAGTGGTCAGGGAAGACCTCCCAGCAAAGGCGCCATTTGAGTGAAAGCTGCAGCATGAGCCGAGCTGGCCTGGGCGGGCTGGGGAGGAGGACGCGGGCAGAGGAACAGCACACGCGAGGGCGGGAGGTGGGTTAGAGCCTGCGCCACGCTGGGCTTCCGGGGGAGGTGTCTGGAGCCCAGAGTGCCTTCTCCCCGCAGCAGCAGCCAGTGTGCGCTATTACCTTTCTTCTCTCTGTGCCAGCACCGTCCCAGGGGGCTTCGGGAAGCTTCAGGGCTGTGGTCTGTCCCTGAAAGGGGGCGGGGCCCATGACTGGGAGGCAGTGCTGCAGGTGCCATTTTTTCAGCTGCCTTCTTGGATTCCAGGATTGGATTTTCCGCGTCCTGTCTCAGGAGCGGGACCAGAGCACCAACATCACCTTGAGCAGGTGAGCCTAGAATCTGGGGTGGGGCAGGCGCATGCAGAAAATGGGCGGAACCAGAGCCTGGAGGGAGGCGTTTGGCTACAGGGCATGACTCAGACACCTCACACTGGTCAGCTCAGGAGGAGACCTGGAGGTGGCGGCCCTGGGAGTGGGAGAGAAGCCAGCGAACGGAATTCAGGGTTTGCCACTTCCCCAAGGAGAGCCTGTTCCTCCCAATGCCACGCAGCCACGCAGCCACCCATTCAACCCTCCATTCTCCATCCATCTTGCCACCCATCCATCTAGCCATTTGCTCCTTTGTGCATCCATTCATCTCTCTCTCCATCCTTCCATTCTTCATCCTTCATCCTTCTGATTTCCCTCCCCGCCATCCACCCCTCATCCGGTCTTCCGTTCATCCCTCCATCCACTCATCCTCCACCCATTCCTCCAACTTTTCATAATCAAACACAAACACGAATTGAGCACAGAAGACACAGGTCCATACTCTTGGGAAGCTCCAGTGTAGAGGACAGCAATATGCCCACAGGGCTTATGGGGGTGAGAGTCTCTACAAGACCTTTCCTTTGGGAGCACGGCAGGGAAGAAGCTATGTGCCTGAGAGATAAGGGAGGGCTGGAGAGGGAGGGGGCCCTTGAGCTACCCCTCCAACGGGGAACAGGAACTGTTCAGACAAGTAAGGAGAGGCAAAGGTGTTCAGGGAGATCACCGGAGGTGTGAGAGAGCAGAGCTTTCCTGAGGACTACCGGGTGCCAAGGGGAAGCCCACGCAGCCCACGGTCTGGGCCCCAGGTCCCTTGATGAAGGAACAAAGCTTGGGACTAGCCTACTGTGTAGGCTAGCCCTGGGGATGGGAGAGGGGAGCTCAGAGCCAGTCCTTGGGGCCGCCAGAGGGGATGCTGTGCAGAGATGCCCTTCGTGGCCCCGAGGCCCCGAGTGGCCAGGGAGGGCCACACTTTGGGCCCTTGCTTGGACCTCACCCATCCTGGGAGTGGTCGTGTGAGAAGCTCAAGTTAGAGCTTGTCTCTCCTGTGCGTGCGTGCGTGTGTGTGTGTGTGTGTGTCCTGGGGAGGGGACACCAGCCCTTCCTGCTGCTCCTACAGGAAGGGAGTGGTCAAGCTCAACATCTACTTCCAAGAATTCAACTATCGCACCATTGAGGAGTCAGCAGCCAACAATGTGAGTCTGGGCGCTGCTGGCACCTCAGCCCTGCCCCGCTGCCCCTCCACCGTGCACCCTGAGAGGTTCGGGGAGGGTCCCGAACTCTACAGGGGAATTGGGAGAGTCCTGGAGTCCCAAATGGTTTCCGTGGGTTGAGACAGTCACCCTGTCCCCCCTTCCTGGCCAATGGCCTACCTCCCAGGAAGCCGTGAGGCGGGGTTCAAGGCAGGAACCTGTGGCCCGACCCCCACCCTCACCAGGCTGTCCACCCTCCCTGCTCCCCACAGATCGTTTGGCTGCTCTCAAACCTGGGTGGCCAGTTTGGCTTCTGGATGGGGGGCTCGGTGCTGTGCCTCATCGAATTCGGAGAGATCCTTATCGACTTTGTGTGGATCACTATCATCAAGCTGGTGGCCTTCGCCAAGAACCTGCGGCAGAGACGTGCCCAGGCTCGCTATGCTGGCCCGCCGCCCACCGTGGCCGAGCTGGTGGAGGCTCACACCAACTTTGGCTTCCAGCCTGATGTGGCCAGGCCTGGCCCCGACCCCGGGACCTACCCTGATGAGCAGACCGTGCCCATCCCGGGCACCCCACCTCCCAACTATGACTCCCTCCGTCTGCAGCCGCTGGACATCATCGAGTCCGACAGTGAGGGCGATGCCATCTAGACCCGGGGAAACCAGAACTCAGACCGAGAAGCCAAGATCGTGGCCCCAAGCTTCACTTTGGGATGTTCTCTCCAAAGGGCCAAGATAGTGGGTATCCAAAGCCAGAGTCTGTGTCTCTCTATAGAGAGACCAGCAGCTGCTGGCCAGTCCCAGGCTGAGGGCTCTGTAGGGTCATGCTGCGGGTACAGATGTGGGAAATGTGTACTCATTTGGTTCCTGCCCACACCCCCAACCTGACCTGATCCTTGGCTGGGACGTCCCCAGCCTGACTCGAGAGACACTGGGACACTGTCCCCCACAGGCAGGCTAGTTTCTTCCCAGTGCACCGTCTGCTCCCGAGACAGCCAGCCAGGCAGGCTGTGCTGTCTGTCCCCACAGTCTTTTCCGTCCTGGCCTTAGCTGACCTCTGCGAATGGGTTTAGGGAGATGAGCAACTGTGGAGAGCAGGAAGGGCATCAGGCCCGGGGGCAGGGTCGGGGGTGGGGGAATGTGCTGCCAGGTGGCCCGTGTTTTGTTCTAGAAGTTAAAGTAGCATCCATACTGGCTGGGAAAGCAAGGGCCTGGCCGCAGTAAGGCTCTCAAGCAGGTGATTTTGGCGTTGTCCCCATAGTCTACTTGAGACTTCCACCATCAGTGCCATCCACCACTCTTCTCTGGGTGGCAAGGACAGAGAGAAAGAGAATGAGACTCCAGCTGGCTTAAGTGAGAGAATCTTAAGGACCTCAAACGGTGTCTCTCGGTCTCAGCTTTCCTGGGCAGGCTCCCCTCACACTGACAGTCCGCCAGCGAGTCCAAACTCACCAGGTAAGGACCGCTTTCCCAGTTGTCTCTGCAAGTTCCTAGGCTGACTCTCATTGGTCACTGATTGGGTCACATGCTTACCTCTGAGCCAATCTGGCTTGGATAGGCCAGACCCTGCCCATACCTGAGGCCAGGTGGCCCCCAGCAGAATCAGGTGGTGGGGACACCAGGCCAAAGATTGCCGGATAAAATACAGGCCCCCAAGTTAAATAGGAATTTCAGATAGACTATGAATTGTTTTTTTTAGTGTGAGTATATCCAAGTAGTATTTGGGACAGGGGCACCTAGGTGACCCAGCAGGTTAAGTGACTGACTTTTGATTTCGGCTCAGGTCATGATCTCAGGGTTGTGAGATCGAGTCCTTTATGGGGCTCTGCCTCAGTGTGGAGTCTGCTTCAGATTCTCTCTGCTTCCTCCTCTGCCCCTGTATGTGCGCTTGCTCTCTAAATGAATAAAAATGTTTTAAAAATTTAAAAAGCTATTTGGGACATATTATACTAATAAAATCATTTGTTGTTTTTCTGAAACTCAACTTTAACTGCGTGTCCTGTATTTTTAATTGCTAAGCATGGGAACCCGGATGGCTCTCCAAAGAGAGACCAGAGAGCTGTTACCAAAGAAGCATGGGGCTTGTCAGGTGCGGAGAGCGGACCACCTGCCAGCCCCGGTCACGAAGCGGCGCTGGCTGTAGAGCCTGGACCTCTGAGGGCCCAGCCCTGCTGCTGGCGAACACCTGGGTCCTTGGCTGGGAAAGCAAACAAGCCGACCTCCCATTAAGTGCCCACAGTGGCACCTGTGGAGGAAGGCGGTGCCCCAGACTTGGTGCCACTCCAGCCAAAGACAGCGCTGGGAAGCATTGTGTGGGGAGGGCCTGGGGGAAGAGGGTTTCCCAGCTCGGGGCCAGGCAGGTCTGCAGGCTGGAGTCCAGTTCTCGGTGGCTGCCATGCTAACTCCCATGACTACTACTTTTATTACTAGTGATAGTTGTCATCACACTGTGATTATTTGTTGTCGTTATCAAACAATGGCTACACTGTATCAAACACTTACCACATGCCAAGCACTAGGCCAAGTACTTTGTAAGTCTTTTTCCAATTAATTCTCAGAATGACTGAAGTGTTATCATCCCATCTCAAGGGTAAGCACATTGAGACTCCGGTGAAGTCAGGAGCCCCAGACCACTCTCCCACTAAGTGATGAAGGTGAAACTCCAGCCTCATCCCCTTGCTGTCAGCAGTCACAAGAATACCCTTATAGGAGTCCAGAGCTTTCCTATTTTCCGTCTCATCTGAAGCTGTGGGGCAGGCAGAGCAATGGTTATTACCGAGCTCCTTTCGCCAGCTCTTGGGTCACACTAATTCGAGCTGACTTAAGCTAAAAAAGGGAGTCCGTTAGTTCTTGTAATAAAAGTCCAGGGATTTCAAGTATGGCTGTTCCTGGGGTTCACCTAGATCTGGTGCTTTCCCCAGCTCCGGGCTTTCTTTTCTTCCATGTTGAGATCCCTCTCAAATAGGTTCCCTCCATGTGCCACTCCTCCCCCCACAGTTCCAGGCTCCGTTCCCTCAGCTCAGCAACTATATGGTGGGAAGAAACCTCCTTCTTCACAGTGTCCCAGCAAAAGCCCCAAGAATGGAGGTCACTGAATCAGCCCGGGACACATATTCTTCCTGAGCTGTGAGAGGTTCTGTTCAGAGACACTGTGAAGCAGGAGTGGGAAGGGGACACTTGTTACGTGCCTTACCCCTGCTGTACCTCACAAGTTCTTCAAATAACCCTGATTCGGTACCACTGTGGCTCCCATCTTTCTCAAGAGGAAATGAGGCTCAGAGAGGGGAAGCGACTTCCCTAAGGTCACACAGTCGGGAGGTGGGGAAGCCAAGAATCAAACAGCTCTCCTGGACACTGGCACAGAGGTCACCCCAAAGAGGTTTCCACTTTGCACGGTACATTCTGCCTTCCGGGTTTCCAGCTCTCACTTCTTCAAGGCAGGAGCCAGGCTCGATCCCTGCCAGGGACAGCCCATGATCCACCACATGAGAAAACACAGTATTTTTCTTGGCGCGGGTTCTTTCAGGGCCAGTAAAACTGGTTCCAAGGATGTGGGGGACAGAACATGGGGGAACCCCTAGATGACAGGAACAGCATGTCACCGGCCCCAGCCGCCTGTGAGGGCCAGTTCCCGAGAGGCTGTGGGCACAGTGGTGCCACTTCAGAGGGCCAGCACAAGCTGACTGTCCTGGCCAGGCTAGGTGTCGTGTGCTCGCCTTGCGTCCCATGGTCAGGAGCACAGGCGCCACAGGCACCAGGCAAGCCCCTAACCCGCCCACACCTTAATGCCTTTGTGTGTAAGACAGGAATAAGCCCCGGGGCCGCTGAGAGGCATCCCAGAGAGAAACAAGCCTATGCTGCAGCAGGAACACATGACACATCAATTCTAATAAAGGACCCCGACAGACACAGTGGTGCCCCCTTCTCTTGTTTTAACAGAAACTGTTAACAGAAACCGGGCCTGCTCATGGCACCAGGGCGCCCAGCCTAGGCGATAAGTCCTGCCTGGTCCACGTCAGGATTTCCATGCTGGAGGGGAGTCTGGCCCTTGGGCAAGGTCCGGAGACCTCTCTGGCTGTCCCAGCTGGAGAGTGCCACCGGCGTCTGGTGGACAGGGGCCAGGGATGCCACTGAATGCCCTGTGACCATCCTGCCCAAGAGAACCCCAGCTAGAGGTGTCCTGTTGCCCACGCTCCCAGCCTTGCTTGCTGCTGGGTGACCAAGAACCCACCAGAGAAAACGAGGAGAAAGCCATGGGGGCCCCTCGGGAGGCCTTTGCCTCCAGGGTGAAGGGACGGTGTCCCTTCTGCCATCGTCCCTGCCCCCGGAATGCCATGTGATGCCTGCAGCTGCAAGATCACCCTGCCCGGAGGAAGCAGCCAGCACGTGCAGAAAAGGTCAAAATCACAGGGAAGTGCTGGTCCTGGTCCTGACTCCTCCAGCCACCGAGTTAGTGCCCAAAGCTGGGGCCACAGGACTTCCTGCTCTTGAGAAAGCTCAAATGCTATTTGCTTGAGTCACTCAAATTACCTTATTCTGTTCGTCTTAACAGAGAAGCTACTGGCAAAACACCTGAGAGTCCCCATCACCCCCTGAGTTTTCGAATGAGACAAAGTAAAAGCTCGAGTCCTCATCACGGCCAACAGGCTGGTCCGTGATCTGACCCCCAGCTCCCCTCTAACCTGATTTCCTACTTCCATGCCGCTGACCTTGGATGTGACCCAGGGCCTGGTCTGCGCTGGTCCCTCACTGCCAGGCATGGCTCTGATCTGTGGGGCTGGGGGCTGCCCTCCACCCTGATGCCACCATCCGACATCCTCTTCTTCCCCTCCTTTCTGGCCTATGTCCCAAGGCCTGGAGCACGGCACATGGAAGGCACCCAAATATTCACTGAGCGAAGGAAAGAAAATGCTCTTCTTTCATTTCACGGTATTTATCAATTTTCAGATCGGTTCATTCAGAAAATCATCTGAAAATCCTGTTCTAATTAATAAATAATACGCCTCTAATTTACACCCCCCACCCCACTTTTTGATTATGCAAACAAAACAAGTCTTTTTGAAATGAATCCTGCCCAAACCCAGGCAGAAGTTTTGAATAAATCCATTCTGGAGAGCTGTTGTGATCCTGGAACCCCAGCCCTGGGCCTCTTCTCAACCAGGCTGGGGGGTTGGGGGGCAGTCAGTAGTCCACATTCCGCATGGTAGCCACTGCGGCGGCCAGGCGACGGGGCAGGCCTTTGCTGACCTGCCTGTAATCCTCGGGTTTGATCTTCAGGAGGGTCACGATGTTCTGAAGGGTACGCGACGGCTGCAGGCCCAGGGCGTCCATCACGTTGATCAGGTAGTCTGTACGGATGGGGAGCAGACAGACAGAGCTCTACAGACTGAGCACCAAGTGGGACAGAGACAAACGTCCACCCTGAACCCCCCCAAAATGCCAGGTGTCCACTCTGCCCCGAGCAGCCAGGCCTTTACTCTGAGGGGTTTTCCAAGAGGATTAAACCTACTGTCAGCTTAGGAGCACCCGGGTGACCCAACTAGGTGAGTGTCCGATGCCGGATCTCAGCTCAGGTCCTGGGATCGAGCCCCGCGTCAGGCTCCACACTCGACACATAGTCTGCCTGGGATTCTCTCTCTCCCTCTCCCTCTGCCCCTCTTCCCTGCTCCCATGCACTTTCTCTCTCAAATAAATTATTTAATAAACAAAATCTTTAAAAAAAAAAAAAAAGAAGAAGAAAGAAGAAAGAAAAAGAAAAACCTGTCAGCTTGGCCCAAATCTAGGAATTCTAATTGCATATAGGACTGGCCCTCCCCCACCACCCACTGCACACTCAGCTCTGCAGCTGGACGAGCCTACCCCCCACAGTGCTACACTGGGACTCCTGAGTTCTTGACCACACTCCCCAGTGGACCCTACGGACCACATGGAGACCCCAAGGAGTCCGGGGGCACACGGGTTTATATGAGCAGCGACTAAGACTTCCGCTGGGAGTCTAAGACAAGCTCCCCGTGAAGACAGGGACGGTGTCTGAGGCAGGGGCCTGGTGCGCTGCACGTTCCCACACTTCCCATTTCACCCCTTGGGGTCCGAGCTAGAGGCCGAGTCCCGAGCCCGCCCCGGACCACATCGGTGAGAATCTCTAAGGGAGGTTTCAGGGACCCCGTCCTTCGAAGAGAAGCCCCGCGACTCTAACCACCAGGCAAGCTTGCGCGACACTGGCAGAGTGGGGCAGGTGAAAACTGGTTTCCCAGGTTGGGGTGAGCTTGGTGAACCCCTCGTCTCTGAGTCCCTGCATCCATCCATCGATGCTGCACTGTCAAGAGGATGAAATGGGCCAAAGGCCACAGGAGCACCCGATGTGTTACAGATGACGAATGAGTGCCGCCCTGACTTCCTCCTTCCAGGGCAGGTCTGAGCCAGACCTGAGGGGAGTGCTCTGTGGTGTCCTCTGGCTCCGCCTTCATCCTGCCCTCAAGGGCAACAGACAGCACCCCCCCCCCCGCCCCGCCACTAGCCCCTACTGCCCTTCTGTCCATGGCCGGCTCCAGCCATAGCCCACAGGCGGTGCCTGCTCTGCGCTGGCGGACTGGCTGACTCACGTCCAACTCCGGCCAAGCGGTGTCCCAGGCACCTGTCACCTGCATGAGCTTATCCGTAAAACTGAGCTCCGCTCATCCGGGAGCCCGGGCCCTGGCCATGCTCCCCGCTGCGGAAGCTCAGTAAGCCCAGGGAGTGGCTAAGGCTCCAAGCGCTGCGGCTCGCACGGAACGGCTGCTTGGTCAGCGCTGGGCGGGACCGGAGGTTCAGAGGGAGCTGAACACAGAGGGAGAAAGAACAGGGACTCCCGGAATCGTAGGCAATGCCAGCATCTCGCTCATCCCGACTGGTTCTGTCCTCAGTGCGCCTGCCTGTACTAACAGACGCCACCTCCGGGCGCCAGGATCGCCTCATCCTTCCTCCCTAAACACGGCCCAGTGCCACAGTGAAAAGCTGGCTGCTCTCTGGGACTGCGGAGAGCGGACTGTGAAGTCAGGACACTGGACTCCAGGCCTGGCTCCATCCCTAGTGGCCCCGGGACCCGGAGGGAAGCACCTCACTTCTATTTCTTCTGTAGCAAAATAACAGCCTGGTTTGGCCCTGTGGTTGTCACAGCTCTGTCTGGGTCCCCAGGGAGCTGATCTCTAAGGCTCCTACAACCCTCTCCCCACCACCCCAAGAGCTGCTTCAGGTCAAGAGAAGACGGGTCCACGGAATGATACCAAGACCCTGCGGAGACTCCCCTGCCTCCTGCCCGCAGCACCCACAACCTCAGGGCCCTGCCTGCGGGGGGCGGGCGCCGGCAGGAGCGGGTCGGCATGTGGCCCTCTGACCGGGGAGGCACACAGGCATCGTATGTGGCCTTGTTATTCAGCCGTCCTGTGCCTCCGTGTCCTCACCAGCACTGGGGGCGGGGGGGGACCTCCACTGTGTACCGACCTCACAGAGGGGCCCTGACGAAGGTGGCCTTCGATGTGGGTACGAGGCTTTGGCTCAGTGCCTGGCGTGCCTGGTGCACGGTGGCAGCCTAATCAGCATCGGTCCGGGCCATTATACAGAAGCAGCAGAAGGCCAGGCAGCAAAGGCAAGTCTGTGTCTCTCACTTCAAGCCACGTCACAGAAGCCCCCTCAAGGGCAGCCTGCCTGCATGCCCCAGGATGTTTTTCAAAATACAGACGTCCAGCCTTCAGCCCAGACTTCCAGGTCAGAGTCTCTGGGGACGAGGCCCGGGGAGTCTGCATCTTAACAAGCTCCGCAGCCGAGCCCCGAGCTGGAGGGTGGGGGGCACCGACAGACGCGATGGGCCACAGCCACCCCTCGGGCCGCCTGCCCCGGGGGCACCCACCGATGTCAGTGGCCAGCTGCTTGGTGGAGTGCGGGGTCAGCTCGGGGATCTGCAGGATCGCGTCACAGTAGGTCTGCATCGTGGCTCTGGCGACGGAGCCCAGCCAGTTGTCGGCCATGTTGTCCAGCTCAGGCAGTTCGTCCCCTGGGAGGGAGAGAAGGCATCAGAAACTGACTGCGGTCGGGAGGGTCCCACCGCCAGCAGCTTCTACCTCCCGGCGGCCAGGCCCATGATGGGGGCCGCATGCCCACACACACCAGGGAGCTGCGGCCTCCGTGGCCAACACGGGGACAGAGAACAATCACGTCTCAGACCACGTGGTACGGCCCGAGTACGATGAGGATTCAGGAGAGGGCGCAGCCGGGTGAGGGAGAGTGACCTCTGCGTGCCTGAAGGCGAAGGACTCTGTGCAGCCACGCGGGCCGGGAGGGAGGGCAGGAGGGGGACCCCGTGAGAGGGAGGCAGCCCATATGAGCAGAGAAAGTGAGCAAGCCAGCACGGCCTACAGGAGACAGACAGATGGCAACGACTGACACACAGGCACCACGGCAGAAGGGAGACCCGGACCAGGGCCCTCCACCATGGATGAGCTACATGCTACCCAGCCTCTGAGAGCCCAACTCTGCGGGGCTGTGGTGAGAATCACGTGACGCCTTGGTCTGGGCCTCAGGCATGGAATGTGTGACACACTCCCAGTGCCGCACACATGGTGACTCTCCGTGTCACATCACCTGTGGGGAAGGAGGAGGAGTCTGTATACAGAGCAGGAGCGGGCAGGGTTGGGGGAACAGGCCTGGGTCAATGAGGGTGCCCTTAGAGTCATAGGAACCCCATCTCAGGGCAAACAGGCAATGACTGTAGGTCAACAGCAAGGTCGCGAGAGCCAGTCAGGCTGGGGCAGGGTGATGCAGGGAGAGGGAGCCGCCATCCTAGCCAGATAGGCCGTGAAGCCTGAAGCCTGATATTAAAAGAACAAAAAAAAGCAGGCGGACAAGTAGAGAAAACAAACACATGTAGGAGAAGATAAGCAAAATGCTGCTATACCACCACCAATAACAACAATAATAATACAGAACACGAAGCTACATGTCAAATACCATCCATACATGGGAAAATGGAAACAATGATGGGATATCAGGGTTTCTTCTTTCTAAAACCGTGACCTTGTTTTACATGTAGCATCTGTACAACAAACACAAACCAGAAAGTTAAAAACCAAAAACGGGATGAACATAACTGAGCACAAGGCTAAGAACACGAGGTCTAGGGCCTCTACCCTGGAAATGGACCACTGGCCCAGGGGTCACGTGGCCGGAAACGCAGCCAGGCAGGGTGGCTGGTGTGGGGCATAACCCTCCCTCCCTGAGACCCTGGCCCAGGAAAGGATAAACCTACCAGGCCTGGGGCGGCACTGTGGGGTGGGGAACGGGGCGCCCATGCAGGACCGAGAGTGGCGGGCACTTGCTTGCTTGCTAACTGGACAAGTTCCGTCCAAGGCCCTGCTGGGTCCACACTGCCCCCGGCCCCGAAGGCACGCTCCGGCCGGGGGACAGAAAAGGCCCCACCACACAGCCATATCGGGGCTGCAGCCAGGGCGTCACCAAAGACTGACAGGAGACTGGAAGTGGGAGCTCATCCCCGGGCCTCCAGAGCACAAGGGACAGTTTCCCGGACGCATGGGAGGAGAAAGGGCAGTTGGGCAGATGGCACACACATGGGTTTACAGAAGTGCGCAGGATGAACAGGGCACGTGGGAAATGGTCCTGTTGCTGACATGCGTGTGCACACAGAGCTGCAGAGAGAGGCGCCCCAGGCAATCACTCCTCCGATGCTAGTGGGACTCTCGGGGCAGGAGACTTTTACTCAGGGAAAAAAATCCTCTGAGTGGCTGGAGTGTGAGCACGTGGGGGCGGGAGATGGGGCTGTGCACTGTGACCACGTGGGATTGAGAAGGGTGTCCAACCTGGGCCAGGGAGGAGCTGGATCTCATCCCATAGGTTCTAGGGGATCTGTGGGTTTTTAAGCAGGCCAGGAATAATTAGTCAGAGGGCAAGGACAAGAAGCGAGATATGGGAGCAAAATACACAAAATGCAGGTGAGAAAAGAAATCTCAAGAAGGAGGGGTGTTCGGATTGCTAAGGAAATGTTGAAAAAGAAAAACAAAACTGGGGCATCAGGTTGCCTGATTTCAAGCTTTACTACAAAACTGTGATCACCAAGACAACATGGTACTGGCACAAAAACAGACACATAGACCAGTGGAACAGAGTAGAGAGCCCAGATATGGACCCACAACTCTGTGGTCAACTAATCTTCGACAAAGTAGGAAAAAATATCCAGTGGAAAAAAGACAGTCTCTTCAATAAATGGTGCTGGGAAAAATTGGACAGCTATGCAGAGAAGAATGAAACTAGACCATTCTCTTACACCATACACAAAGATAAACTTGAAATGGATAAAAGACCTCAACGGGAGGCAGGAATCCATCAAAATACTAGAGGAGAACACAGGCAGTAACCTCTTCACATCAGCCATGGCAACTTCTTTCAAGACATGTCTCCAGGGGCGCCTGAGTGGCTCAGTGGGTTAAAGCCTCTGCCTTCGGCTCAGGTCGTTATCCCAGGGTCCTGGGATTGAGCCCTTCATCGGGCTCTCTGCTCGGCAGGGAGCTTGCTTCCCTTCCTCTCTCTCTGCCTGTCTCTTTGCCGACTTGTGATCTCTCTCTCTATCAAATAAATAAAAAATAAAAAAGAGGTCTCCAAAGGCAAAGGAAACAAAAGCGAAAATGAACTTTTGGGACTTCATCAAGATCAAAAGCTTCTGCCACAGCAAAGGAAACAGTCAACAAAACAAAGAGGCAACCCACGGAATGGGAGAAGATAGTCCCAAATGACACTACAGACAAAGGGCTGATCTCCAAGATCTATAAAGAACTCAAACTCAACACCCAAAAAACATAATCACATTAAAAAATGTGCAGAAAACATGAACAGACACTTCTCCAAAGAAGACATACAAATGGCTAACAGACACGTGAAAAAATGTTCATCACTAGCCATCAGGGAGATTCAAATCGAAACCACATTGAGATACCACCTTACACCAGTTAGAATGGCCAAAATTAACAAGACAGTAAACAACAAGTGTTGGAGGGGATGTGGAGAAAGGGGAACCCTCATACACTGTTGGTGGGAATGCAAGTTGGTGCAGCCACAGTGGAAAACAGTGTGGCGATTCCTTAAGAAACTAAAAACAGAGCTCCCCTATGACCCTGCATTGCACTACTGGGTATTCTCCCCAAAGATACAGAGGTAGGGAAAAGAAGGGCCATCTGTACCCCAGTGTTCACAGCAGCAATGGCCACAGTCACCAAACTGTGGAAAGAGCCAAGATGCCCTTCAACAGACGAATGGATAAGGAAGATGTGGTCCATATATACAATGGAGTATTATGCCTCCATCAGAAAGGATGAACACCCAACTTTTGTATCAACATGGCTGGGACTGGAGGAGATTATGCTGAGTGAACTAAGTGAAGCAGAGAAGGTCAATTATCATATGGTTTCACTTAATCGTGGAACATAAGGAATAACACGGAGGACATTGGGTGAAGGACAGAAGTGGGCTGGGGGAAATCGGAGGGGGAGAAGAACCATGAGAAACTGTGAACTCTGAGAAACAATTTGAGGGTTTCAGAGGGGAGGTGGGAAGGGGCTTAGGGGCTTAGGAGGGCCTGGCGGTGGGTATTAAGGAGGGCATGTATTCCATGGAGCAAGGGGTGTGGTGCATAAACAATGAATCTTGGAACACTGAAAAAAAAATTAAATTAAAAAAAATTAAAAAGAAGGAGGGTGTTAAAAAACCAGGTAGATGAAGCGTCAGGCTCAGCTTTTGTGTCTGGTTGTGGGAATGGTGTAGTCCTGACCTTCTTGGGCCTCCCCATAGGGCCACTCTGTGTCAGGGTCTACCAGCCGTTACCTCTGCCCGTAAGCCTGGCCACAGAGAAGGGAGGCTCCAGGGGACCCAGCACCACACCTAGGTAGCACCTTTGCCCTGCATCCGGCAGGTGCAGGCCGCCTCTGGGGGACCCCACCCCACTGTAGCCCGTCCTCGGCACCCCCACCGAGAGAGCGGACGTGGTTGGGCACAGGGATTGCAGATTTCCTGCAAATGCCCCTGCTTTAACACATGCTGTGTGTGACCTCTGGACACATCACTTCAAAGTTCCAAACGTTCCATTTCCTTGCGGGAAAAAGACTTGTAAGGATTTTTTAAAAACTACCTTCTAACTACACTGATTATGAAAAGCCATTTATGTAAGCCTCAAAGCTCCTACTGGCAGCTTACCAGCTAGTTCTTAAAATGTGCAAATGTTAACATGCTAGAAATCCCCTGGGTAACTCTTCCCAGTTTTCTCTATGTTTGAAATTTTTCATAATATGATGTTGAAAGGGAAGGGATTTAAAAAAAAAAAAAAAAAAAGGAAACACCTGGAAGGGCTTGTTGTTTTCCGTCACTGCTACAATTTCACTTTATGGCTGGAGTTTTTTCCCTCCTGACGATGCCCAAAACAAATGCCCAGAAATTAATAACAGTTCGGTAAGTGAATGAGTGACTGAAAACAACTGCAGTTTAACTAAATGTGTATGTTATTTCCTTGCAATGGGACAATAAGGCCTTACGCTCACCCTGGTGTGCTGTAACAGACATAGACACAGCACCACTATTTTCTCGCCCAAGAATTTGAACTTGAACATAAGTGGCATCAATAAGAGATACATGTTGGTGGGGCACCTGGGTGGCTCAGTTGGTTGGGTGTCTGATCTGGGATACATGATGGTGTATTTATGCATGGAATAATCGGATGCCTGGGATTTGACTTAAATATTCTTGAAAAAAATATGAGAGGAACATAAGAAACAAGAAGCCAGGGGCGCCTGGGTGGCTCAATGGGTTAAAGCCTCTGCCTTCGGCTCAGGTTGTGTTCCCAGGGTCCTAGGATTGAGCCCCACATCGGGCTCTCTGCTTGGCAGGGAGCTTGCTTCCTCCTCTCTCTCCCTCTGCCTACTTGTGATCTCTATCTGTCGAATAAATAAATAAAATCTTTAAAAAAAAAAGAAGAAACAAGAAGCCATTCTGGAAGCCAGACGAGCAGAACCTGGGACTCCAGTGTAACTGGTCTCACACCCGGCGTGTTTGGGTCTGTGTGTAGGCATGTGCGTGCATGTGTGTCAAACTCCAAAAATCCAAACTGCATAATTTAAACGGCTCTCCTCTGTGCTTGCCAATATTCAGTGCAAACATACTTATGTGTATATACATAAATCTGTATATATTTTCTATATAGTCAGTATGATAGGTTACAAAATGGCATACATTCAGGGAGCCTGGGTGTTTCAGTCGGTGGTTAAGTGTCCGACTCGGTCTCAGTTCGAGTCTTGATCTCAGGGTTGTAAATTCAATCCCTGCACTGGGCTCCACATGGCGTGGAGCCTACTTTAAAAAAAATAAAGGCATACGTTACTTTCCTCACAGCCATTTGAGGATTACTAAAGTTACACATTTCTTTCTGTTTTGAGGTTATTTGAATGCCTTCATGTTATTTACTTATTTTTCTGTGGGGTGTCATCTTTTTCTTACTGATCTGTGGGCACTTTTATACACCAAGGATACGAACTGCTACCTACCAGCCGTGTCGCTATTTTGCTCTAGTCTCTCACGTTCATCTTTCAACTTCCTTTTCAAAGAGTCTTCCCTTCCCTACCCCTGAGTTGCTATTCACTCGTACTGTAGCTAACTGTGAAATTTGTATACAATTATCCTTTTTTTTCCCCAAAAATGATGAGTTCCCTTAATGTGTATGACCCTATGAAACTCAGAGATTTTATTTGTAACATCTTCACAAATGATTTATGGAAACTTGACAATGCCTATTCTCTGTGGGATTAAAAAGCCCAATGTAGGGCGCCTGGGTGGCTCAGTGGGTTAAAGCCTCTGCCTTCGGCTCAGGTCATGATCTCAGAGTCCTGGGATCGAGCCCCACATCGGGCTCTCTGCTCAGCGGGGGGCCTGCTTCTTCCTCTCTCTCTGCCTGCCTCTCTGCCTACTTGTGATCTCTGTCAAATAAATAAATAAAAATCTTAAAAAAAAAAAAAGCCCAATGTATTGATTTGATCAAGTGTATTGATTATACTGAATAATTCCTCTTTTAGCCTCATTAATTTTCCTTTCAAAGCCTGAAAGAGGTGCATGATGTTCTCAATACTCACGTGGTTTTGTCTCTCAAAATCATAAAATTTTAGGATATGACACCAAACAGTTTAATGGGATAGGAATAACCAAGTTGGCATAAAATATATCAATAAATCACTTTCCTTTTGTGTAATGTCCATCTTTAGTTTTGTTTAATTTTCCATATTTAAATTTAATTAATTTCAATTTTTATAGTTAATATAACTTGCTAATAATAAAAATTTTTGTCATATGGACAACATAACCAATAAAATGTAATGTATACCAAAATATAAAATTGATTTTTATTTTCCATTCAAAAACAAAAGCAGCAAATCAGCTTTAATTACAACTTGGATTTCAAATGCCTATCAAATGTAATTAAAATATGTTTGGCTGATCTAACCAAAAAAAAAAAAAAGTTTCTCCTTCTATTTTGGGTAGCTTCTTGTTCACAGTGCTCAGTGCTGTGCCACCTGACATGTAAGTGTACCTAACTGTCACAGGCTCACTGTGGGATCTGCCTTTTATCAATGTAATGACTCACGTTGGTCCCATCTGTTACATTTTGCTCTGATTCAATGTCACTTTCTTGCTTTCTTTTTATTTGCATTTATATGGTATGCCTTTTAGCATCCGTTTAAACTTTTCAATGTGATTTTATTCTCAGGGTTGTACCTTCTTGTAAGCTGCTGAAATCTCTTCTATACCATGTGATTTTTCTGTTTGCTCAGCCTTATGAAGGGAGGCCTATAAAATCCCATATTAAGAATAAGAGGATTTTTGATCAGAAAGTATGTGGTCTCTGTTCAAGCTTGTCAGGGCCCAGATAATGGGAAAAGGAATAGTTTTAATTACTGTATCTTCACCTTGTCAGTTTAGAGATGCAGGAGCCTCAGGAGAGCTAGGAACAAGCTCCAGCCAGAGGGGTCTGGACAGGAAACATCACTTCTACAGTGAAGAGTTTGTTTTCGTCCTAATGAGGAAAACTCTTCTTACGGGTGCCATTTTACTCAGCACACGGTCCAAAGAGGGGGCTTGCACTGGCCAGGTGGGACCCTTGCCTGGAGAGCTAGCTTCCACCTCCCGTGGGTACATCTAATTTACCCTGGGACCTCCTGCCCCTGCCTCCCCAGCTGAGGGGCACTGCGGGAATTCCTCCCCAGCGATGCTCCTTCCCTAATCCACTCTGTACCGCAGAAGTTCCCCAGGGGGATAACAGGTGGACCCCAGGTTTGCATGGGGCTACAGTGAGCCCCCTCCTGGCCCCCCCACAGGCCACGCTCACCTTGCTCAGGAGGAAAGGGCAGTTTCCCAGCATGCAGGGCCAGCTCCAAGGCAGAGTCCTCCTGAGTCACAAAAGGCTCAAGATTCAGGGGGAGGGACATGATGTACTGCCCGATCTGAAACAGAAGAAAGCACTTTCAGCCCCACATTGCCACATACGGTCATTATTTCTGCAGCACGTCCGTGTGAAGGCAGACCGGGGGCAGACAAAAGCATGAAGCCTGGGGCAACCCCAACTCTGATCTTTCCAGTCTGTGCTAATACTGCCATGACAGGACCTTACAAAAATCAATGGCAATTTGCATGGACATCACAGATTCACCCTCACACTCATGGTCCCACTATTCTTGGAATGCCCTCAGTGCAATCTCTACCTGAAATGAGGTAATGGACACTGACAAGCAATTGTGCAAATAAATATAAACGATGACTATTCATGGGTGCAAAACCAGGAAAGTGCTAACACCCAGAGGTGCCTGGCCAAGCAAGAATCTGAATCCTGTCCTCTGAACTTGGCTGTGCATCTCCCCTTTAGAAGGGATCTAAGAGAAGGAAGGAATTTTGTTGGGAAGAAATGCCATTTATAATTATAAATTAATTTGGAGGGAACACTACTGTTTTCATAATACAGACTCTAGAAATAAACATGGACAATGCCTTCTTGGCTGGTGGGGAACTGCAGAAGACAGGCGTACGAGACATTCGGGATGAGCCCACAAATACCACAGTGTTTGTCACATGTGTCAGATGCACATGACTGTCATCATGGGTACACTTCAGATGCTAATTTCTATTCAAACTCCTGTTTTGTGTTTTAAGTATATGTTTTTGTTTCAAAATAAGGTTGATTTTCAGGTTACAACAACATATTGCTTTTGGTTTTGTTTTTTAAAAAAAAAAAGGTCTTTGAGCCTTTTGTTGCTTTTTGTTTTGTTTTTTTTGTTGTTGTTGTTGTTGCTAATTTTTTTTTGGTTCTATATTCGTTCCATACCTTTAAACTTAGAGTTGATACTGATTCTGTCAACTAAAAGCCTTAGGATTATCCAAGTAAGATCTTCCTGTCCTGGCCTCACGCACACCCAGACTCCCCAAATCTCCCAGCCCAGAGGGAGATTCCAAACATTTCCAAACACTGAACGTGGGCTGGCTGTAGTTAAGTCCCAACATCCTCTAGCCCATCATGCTAATGAAACAGGGTTAGTCTGCTCTTCCTTTAAGGAGGCACGCGGATGGTAACATAAATTAAATCAGCATTTTTTCTTTGCATTTCCTTAGTATGATCTCCTACTCAAACTAGGCATCTGGGCCACTTTCCTCACTAGTCACGGCCGTCACTGTACACGTCAGCTTGAACACGGCAACAAATGCATCATTTTCCCATGAGGCTGGAGGAAGAGACAGATGCTGGTTTCTGGGCTTGGATCCCTCCATTCTAATTCCACGTGGCAGGCATTCCTGAACACCTACTATGTGCAAGGACCCCAGGCATACTCCTGTGTTTGGTACAGCTTTCCTCTGGGGCCATAACCTTCTGGCTAAACCCACACGCCCAGTTTTACCTACAGTGAGGTGTCAGGATCATTATACCTTACATCTATGTTGTTTTTCATTTTTCAAAGTCTTTTCTCCCATGGTGCCCCTCTGTAGTGCCCATGCGGCTCTGTGCGGGAAAGGGCATCACCGGCGAGGCAGAGTGTTGTTCGGCAGCAAAATTTCACTAATCTGACATCTCAAACTTCAGCTTCTTGGTTGAGCTTGTGGGGACCGCTGTGGATCCTAGACAGACCCCACGACTCCAGGTCTCCCTCGGGAGCTCTGTCCACATTCATCTTTCGGCAATCAGTGTGGAAAGGGATGCCTACCAGCGCAATGAGGACGTTTGTCTGCTATTCCCACGTATTGAATACATACTCCTTGCTGTTCGGTTTGGGTAACCTCAGTGACACAGCAGAGTGAAGAGCTCTGTGGTCAGACAGCCTTGGGTCTGAGTTCTGGCTCTGCCGCTGTGTGATCTTCCTGGTATCAGCATCTCTGACAGGAGGACAGTCTCATACTGACTTCAGACAGCTGTGCCAAGGATGACACTAATGTGTGTGCAGAGCGCCTGGCGTCCTAACAGAGCGGCCCCTCTCCATTGCCCAGAACCTCACTGCTTGCCCGTGGAACGCCACCGCCAACGAGCTCACATTGTTGCTGTCAAGATAAAAGTCTGTGTGGACCATGCACTACCTCACGGCAGTGATATGAGCCGCGCACTGTCCTTGCACACAGTGTGTGTCCGGTAAGTGCTCATTTCCTGAGTTCAGCTCATCAGCCCCCAAGTACAATCCTCAACTCATGGGGGGTTACGGCAGGTGGAAAAGGGCCCTGGCCTGGACACTAATATGGGCCTCCCCTACTCCTCCAACATCTCAATTTCCTCAACTGTAAAATCGTTCAATGACCTCTCCAGTCCCTTCCAGCAACATCATTTCCTCAATCCATTCCGACTGTAACACATAGCGTCTCAGTTCTAAAAATAAGAGGATGCCCATTGGTTGGAAGAACCGACCCTCATCTTCATAGTTTCATCAGTACAGTTTTATGAGGGAATGCCCTGGGAAACAGGAGGAGAGTGATTGCCATTTTGAACTCGACACTGCTCCCAGTGAACAGAGGGAACAATGCCATCCTCCATGCCCACGGGATCACCAGATACTTCCAACTGTACCACAGCTACTTTCAAAATTTAAAATTCCTTTGTACCTCTTACAATAGAATCATAACTTAGAAAGCAGTGGGTTCTCAGGGACAGCCTTAGGCAGAAGAAATTGCTTATCTCAGAATCGCCCTGGAGAATTCCAGAAGTCTCCCGCAGCGTGAGGTGCCCGTGGCCGGAGTATTCTACTCCTACCTGGTATTTAAGAGCAGCCGAGCTGGATGCAGGAAGTTGCAACAAGAAAGGCCACACGCAGGGGGACTGTCGCCTCCCAGGGGTGAACGGAGAAGGAGGAAAGGATTCCAAGTGCCTGGCTCCCCTGCAGGGTTTATTCTGTACTTTGTTCATATGGACTGTCCAGAACTACAATTCTTCAGAGATTTCTTTCCTGCTGTGAAATTACTCATGAGAACACTCCACACCAGGCCGGGTGCACAGTGGGTGTCACTTCACATTGGCTGAATTTGAATTCAGAACCAGACACACATTGTTCCTCTGAAAAAGTCGCGGAGAAGAACGTGGCCACCTGCTTCCTGTCCTCCCAAGAATCTCCTCTGTGCACTCACGCTGGGATGCCCTTAGGTGCCGGCCACATCTCCCATCGGGGGAGAGGGAGGAGGGGTACGTGTTAGGTTTTGAAATCAGCTTGTGCTTTGTCCACTGATTGAATAAGCCTGTCCTTAAAGTCCTGGATATGGAAGGAAACAACCCAAAAGTGAAGGTTCACACAGCACCCACGTGGTAATGACTGTCTTCCCCAAAGGGCCAGAATCCAAAGACAAGGCAAGGTCTGCAAGGCTACAACTGCCCCGGAGGAAAGCGCCTGGCAGCTCTTACATTGCTGATGTACTCCAGAGGTGTGAGACTGAAGGTGGGCAGGTCGTCGGTCAAGGTCTCACCAATGCCTGCTGTGTTCCAGCTCTAGGGAGGGAAGGAGAGAAAGCGATCAAGGTCACAGAAACCAGGAGGCCCGGGAAAGCACCCCACCCCGGAAAATACTTGAAGAATGCAGCCTTCCTAGAGGTGCCTTTGCTCAGTGACGGTCTTGGGAATCGTCACTATTCGAGAGACCAGCGATTTCTCTTCAAGTCATCACCCTGAAGTCCGCCACGGAGAAAGTAATCCTCTCTCTCTGAGTTCCTTGAGTTCCCGAAGACCCATCCAACGGGAGCTCCTGCCTTCTCAACAGAACTACTTGATGAGAACAGATCCCACCTGTTGCTCCCACTCAGACCATGAAGCAAAGAGCCAGATACCCCGTGGTTTGAGTTTCTCTACTCCGGTGGCCACGCCGGGTTGAGCTGCCTGGGTCTTCAGCACTCTAAAGAGACTAGGAGTGCCCCAAATCCTTCACAGAGACCCTACGTAAATCCCTGTCTTGGGAGGGAGGCCCGGGAAGTCCTTTCTGGCTGCAGAAATATCCAAGCCACATCCCCCCACACTATTTTACTGCTTTTATTTCCACTTGCCTTCCAGATCTATTTCTAAATGGATTCAGAGCTCAGAGGGGAAGGGATGGGAGGGAATCTCCAAACCCCACCAGCGGCCCCCTGTCCTCTTTGTGATCCCTCTGTCTGGGGAGATGCTCTTCCTTTCAACATTTCAAATACGGACTGTCTACTGTATCGTGCTGTGAGCCCTCCCAGAGGGCTCTCTAGACCCAGGCAAATTACCAGCATGTACATGGTCACAGAGTTCAGCCTGGCACACCTTCACACAGAAATCTAGTTTCTTAATTCCAATCTGAGTCACCCTAAAGCCAGCCTGGAAAACAAGGCCCTTTCTGGCTGTGCTCCTGGAGTGACTCCCAGGTCACCCTGTAGCTGCCCTCCACAGCCACCTGATGCCATGAGGCTGCCTGATCCTTTAAGCAACGTTCTGGGAATGTCATGGCCACGTCCACCCCTGGGCTCTCGGCCCAGCCTACGCCTCAGCTGCCCTCCCCGTGTTCCCCAGCAGCAGCTCAATTCTTATTTTCTTTGCTTGAGACAAGTTCTTTCCTTCCCCACCTCCGCCCCTAGTTTTCTAAACTCCTTGTTCTTGTTCGAGAATCCTCCTCTGTTTCAAAATATCCTACTTTTCATCAGTTAACTCCCACCCACGGAGAGGAAGCACTGTGATCACCCACACATACTGCGTGCCCATGATGCGCATAGCCCTGGGCCCCACGTGGGGGAGAGGAGACCAAAAGATGTAAGACTTGGTGCTTGCGCTCCTTGGGAAACCAAGAGCCCGTGACATGCTCCCGCGCTATGCATCCCAATGCATCCCCCCATGTGCACGTGCACGGGTTTCCACTTGGGAGTTCTCTGTGGCAGAGGTGACGTGTGATACCATCAGAGTTCAGAGGAGCGAGGGCTCAGGGTGAGTACAGGAGGAGTGGGCTGCAGGATGCCTGAGGGGCAGAGAGGGAAGACCGGAAGGACGGAAGGATGAGGCACAGCTCTGAATGGGCTAAGAAAGGGCTTTATTTTCAACAAATAAACTGCAGAGAGAAGGGGAGGGGAGGAAGGGATAGAGAGGGAAGGAGGGAAGGAGGGAATGAGAAGGTAATCTGTAAATCATAAAGGACACAGGGACCAATCCCAACATGCAGAACAAACCTGGATCCTGACTCAAACAGTGAAATTATGACTTTTATGACAACTGGAAATTTGAACACTGATTAATGGTATTAAGAAATCATTTCTAAGTTAGGGGTGATTTGGGTCCTATGATTATTTTTAGCGTTGTTATACTTTAGAGAAAGGATATATATACAAGACAAGATGGCCAGCTGATCATGTCGAAGGGGGGGTGATGAGGACATAGTTTGTTATACTCTCCTCTCCACTCTATGTTTGTGTGAAAACTTCCCTAATAAACTTCTGAAAGACAGATCGCTCTCCTGGGCCTGGGGAGCTGTAGTGATGAGGCAGAGACAGGAAGGCCGGTGAGGCAGAGGGGTGGGAGAGGGACGGTGCCTGTGAGAACGGGAGCCACACCTTGGGGCTGGGCTGCAGGGAAGGAGCCCTGCAGGGGACGAGCACAGCGGGCAGGAGGCCCTGGGAAGGCTCCATGGGGAGGCAGGAGGAGAGTGGCCAGGCAGAGGGGGGAGGGGGGGCAGCCACAGTCAAAGGGGGTTTTGCAAGAAGAGTGGGTGGACAGTGGACAAACCAGGGAGGCGCTTAGCAAGTAGGGCGACCGGGAAATGCTGCAGGGTATTTTTCAATTGTTCAAAATCTATTGAAAAGTTCCTTCATAGGGGCTTTTCTGTCTCATCTGTCACCAGGTGATGTGCGCAAACGTCAACAGTCGATTCTGAAACGGACTGTAGTGTTGGTTTATATTCTTCAGATGTGAAAGGGTAATATAATTTACCGGCAAACATTAAAAGCAAACACTGAATGACCAGGGTTTAATTTTCAAATCCTTACGGCCGAAGTGTTTGCGTTTGTGCTGTGTGCTTTCCTCCTGGCGACTCTGGGAGAGCTCCTCCTAATCTCTGAGCTACCTGTCTCCATTCCCAGGGCCCCAAGGTGTCACATCGTGGCCCAAGTAAGGAGGCCAGATTCAAGCGACCCAGAGTCCAAGCACAGAGAGGGGGTGGAAGAGCAGTGGGAAGAGCTGACCTTCCAGGGGCGCCTGCGTGGCTCAGTGGGTTAAGCCTCTGCCTTCAGCTCAGGTCATGATCCCAGGGTCCTGGGATCGAGCCCCGCATCGGGCTCTCTGCTCGGCGGGGAGCCTGCTTCCCCCTTTCTCTCTGCCTACTTGTGATCTCTCTCTCTGTCAAGTAAATAAATAAAATCTTAAAAAAAAAAAGAAAAAGAAAGAAATGACCTTCCAATACAGAAGGTCACGACGTTAGGATCTGGGGTGGGGTGGGGGGATGGGTGGCACAGGTGAAGGGGATCAAGAGCACACTTTTCTCGAGGAGCACTGAGCCGGGGACACTGATCACTATACTGTACACCTGACACTCACATAACACTGTATCTTAATTACACTGGAGTAAAAAAGAGGTTAAAAAAAATATCCTGGTTCTTAACATTCTCATGAATCACTTGTTTTATCCTACAATCCACATGAAATCGTTTCAAAACTACAATGGCATTACTACTAGCAATAAAATGACTGGACAAAGTTAAAAATTCCTTTTTAAGCTCTAAGAAAAATAATAAAGCAGCCAGCTCTGGGGGCTGGGGACGGGAAGTATGAAGAATGCTAAGGGCCTCAACTTTCACAGCAGCTCCATGAGCACCAGCAGCTCCGGAACATGGAAGGGTGACTAACCAAAAACAAGGACCCTGGCCTCTTAACAGTTTTCATAATCCTTTTTGTGCAACTTTGGAGAGAACTTTGGGGTGCTGATACCTTTTGTCGGGAAGAGCCTATTATCTCAGGTTCCACGACTCCTTTTACTTCCTTTCTCCCTTTTCTAGTCAAGTTCAAATAAATGTTATATTGTATATATTTTGGTTTTTAAAAAAACAGCACGTGTAGTCCCGCTCCATTTTTTCTACAGATCTACCTGCCCACTGGTGCCCGTCAGGCCGTCCAGCAGGAAGAGGCGCCTGGGGGATACGTACCACGCGTACGTGGCATTTCTACGTTGTGGGATTCTGAAGGGATTTACTGCTTTTTTCATTGTACTATCCTGTATTGCCTGAGTTTCTGAAAAGGAGTGTGTGCAATTTTTACTTTAAAAAACTGTCATTCCGGGACGCCTGGGTGGCTCAGTTGGTTGGACGACTGCCTTCGGCTCAGGTCATGATCCTGGAGTCCCAGGATCGAGTCCCGCATCGGGCTCCCAGCTCCGCAGGGAGTCTGCTTCTCTCTCTGACCTTCTCCTTGCTCATGCTCTCTCTCACTGTCTCTCTCTCAAATCAATAAATTAAAAAAATAAAAATAAAAATAAACTGTCATTCCTCTTAAAAAATGAGAATCACAGAGAAAAAGAAAACCAGCAATCGTTAAGCATGTGCACTGCGGCAGCTGTAGGGCTAAGTCCCATCATCTATGAAATGTCATGTAATCCTCACACATCTGCATGGTCAGAATCAGTGTGTCCCCATCTAATGAGGCTTACACAGGAAGCCAGGCCGATGGGACCGTGTCAGGGACATCATTTCTCCAGTTTCGCCCACCCCCCCTCCCCGACCAGAAACACAGATCTGACTGCAGCAGATCCCAGGGCATTCTGCGAGAAAATCCACTGTTCAATCCCACTGTTTCATGGATGGGGTTTCTGAGATCCAGAGAGATCCACAGACTGGATCCAGGTCATACAGTGAAGGAATGAGTGCCCCTTGAGCCCTGGTCTTGTATGCTTTCCAGAAGGCAGCAAGAAGCAAAGAACTTGTAATGATGCCTTATGGGTTCTTGCTGCCTTCTAAAAAGGGTCTCCCAGTTATTAAAGGCCCACAACTGGATCCTTCTCAAAATCCCAGCCCAGAAATCCAAACGGCAGTGAAGAGACCAGAGCCACAGGAGTCAGAGCAGGTAGAGATATGACTGATGGGTAATCCCTTAAAGGAGTCAGGACAAGCAGAAAAGGGTGTAAGGTGAGGGAAGGGAGGCGCTCCGGGAATAGCCAGAGGGCAAAGGCATCAAGGACAGAAAACGGCAGGCCCCCTCAAACCCTCATCAAAATCACCAGATCAGATCTGGTAAGACACTCTCCTGGGCAAAGTTCCAGAACTAATGCTCATGAAAAGAATGCAATCTCACGGGACAATTAGCTCCTCTGACCTGCCCCAACCTATCCAGTGGCACATAATCTCCCTCACTTCTCCCACAGAGGGCACAGCTACGCTGCTCCAAACGGTGAAAGTTAATCAAGCAATAATAATCATCCCAGGAAGCAGGATGAAAATAAGGCATCACAGTGACTCCAATTAAGATAAGACATTCTTGCTAAGCAGTGAGTTGCAAGGGAACAGTGAGTCTGCACGGTGGGACTTCCAAGTCAGGAGAGTTAGAGAGCTTCCTCCTAAAGCTCCTGGGGGCCGGGGCGGGGGGGGGGGGGGGGGGGGGGGGAGGAGCCGGGGCCCAACAGTGGGATGTCTGTGGTCCATGGGAAACTCACGTCCATCTTGGAAACGAGTAGCAGCTGCTGTTTGATGCGCAGGAACACGGAATCGAAAGCCAGCTGGTGGGCCTGCTGGTTAAGACGAGTCAGGGCCGTGCGAGACGCAGACAGCAGGTTGTAGTTACTGGACCCTTTCTCCTAAGACGAGATAATGCAAAAGGCTGTTAGGGCCTGGCTCAAACCAAGGCGATCAGCTAGTTCAACATTTTGAAAAGCCCCTGAGAGGAAGAAAGTGGGGGGGTGGTTCGGTACAGCAGTGGTTACCAAGCCCGTCTGTGCCCCAGCACCCCCTGTTGGAACATGCTGGATTATAGATGCACACGCTCCCCCCTCAGAGCTACTGAATCAGAGCCCAGCAGGGTTCTGGGGCCCAGGGAGCGTTTTAGCTCACTTTTTCATGTAATTCTAATGCATCTGCTAACACAAGCTCAGGGACTGGCAGTTTAGGAAAAAATTAACTGGTGAGTGTCCCTCAGGGATAGAGGCAGAGAGAGAAAAATGATCAGAAGTGTCAGGTATAAACAAGATTGAGGGACAGGAGCCTGACCTCCCAGCGAGGTCAGCTCAGTTATACTGGGTCATACAGCAGACTACGCACAATCTGTATGAGTTCCAAGGAATTCCAAACAGCCTGAGAAAATACAGAGGTGGAAAATGTAACCTTAGTTTTGTTATTATAAATGAGCCGATTACAAGGAACTAAACCAGATCAGCAGTAAAGATAGACAGAGTTGCTTTAACCTAATCACGGAAACACGGATGAATGAACCTGCACAACTGTTTTAAGTGTTTGTCAAGCTCTAGTACAGCCAACTGGCGGGCCAAAGTGCACGGCGATGGGGAGACCATGTGAGGGCAGATGAAGGCTCAGACACGTCCAGAGGCTCACTGGGCCGTCACCCCAGAGCTCAAGGCCCACCAGGACACAATGAGATTGCATTTGGTGTCAAGGGAATGGCAATGTCTCCTCTGCCTATCACCAAGACAGGTGGGGGGATGGTGCTGGAAAGGATGCTACAGTCCACTTAGGATCTTGGGGCCATTCATAGGTTGTTGTGTGGTTCACTCCACGTTTTGGGAGGTTTTTCCATCACTGGAGCCCCAAGGGGCCCAAGCTCAAAGTCAGAGCAGCGCTGTGACAGGCATACCAAGAGCTTAAGCTAAAGGGATGGCCAGAAGGGACCACTTATCCTCAGGTCCTCCTACTGCCACGAGGAGGATCGATTTCCCTCCTGGCAGGGTTGGGGGCCTCCTTTGTGGGTTCTCCCCACTAGCGGGCAGTCCACACTGTAGTCCCCTCTCTGCCATTCAGTAATAGGGGCCTGTCCCTGCCCTGGAGTCAGGGGCTACCCAGCCATCCTCCCGGCAAATCTGGCTCTGGAGGGCAGTACGGCAAGGCCATCGCCACACACCTGAAGTCATGCCATCCGTGCGGGCTCTACCGCCTTCTGTCAGTAATAAAGCTGCACTTCTCCAACTCCCACACCTATACGTCCATGTGTTCCCACCCAGTTTAGTTTTTTAGCTCCTTAAAACACAACATAAACGAGACCGAGAAGAGGCAGTAGGGCACACAGCAGACTGCGGTCTACACACAGAGCCGAAAAGCCTGGATCGGGGAAAGGGTGGCAAGAATGCCATCCGTCTGGTCTCATACCTTGAGGGTATACAGTATTTCCATTAAACTGGCATATTCAGCCCGGTTATCCTTCTGGAGGTAATTATATTCTTGCCATGGGTTCTTGGCAGAGCTCTTCTTGTCTGTCAAGATGCTATCCTGAAACCCGGCCAGGCTCCGAGGGCTGTAGGAGTCAGAGAGATACTTGCCAGCTGTAGACAAAATCCTGAAACGAAAGCGACGACCATTACGCCCCGCGCTACTTGTACAGAACCTTCCTCTGGGAGCATTCAGTTTCTCCTTCCTAAATCCCAGGATATCCTGATGAGGCAGACTGATTTCGGGTCCATTTGCTAAGAAAAGGAAGACATCCCACAGCGCTGAGGAACGAGCAGGACCTCGGGTGCACAAGAGACCCCAGGTGCTTTTAGTTCCTATTTAACACTCAGTCCGCCGGCACCTGCCACCTTCCTAACGTGACAGACAGCCTACCCGGGGCCATCGTCAGTTTATTACGATCTGGGACACTGTGCATTTTCTGTGCAGCACTTTCTGGCTCCACGGGCATCACCATCTGGAATGAAGCCATGGGGAGCCACCGGCAGCGGGGGAGCTGGTCCTGGGAGAGTGGGGACAGCAGCTCGAAGCATGCCGCTAGCCACATGACTCACCGTCATGCCACTGGGCTGGTGTGGCGTTCGTGTCCACCTGCCCTGTATAGTTTACTTTTGTGGTTTAGGTGCCACAGAGAGATCTACTGTGAGAAGCCAGCACTGTCCCATTTCTCTGAGGAAGAAAAACGCCTGGAGAAAGTTCTAGGTGATGACCAACCTCTAGGGCTTGCACCTCTATCTTCTCTTTCCAACAAAGACGGCCTTCCCTGACAGATGCTGCAAAGCCTCTGCTGTCCTCCCTGAGCCCAGCTGGACCGCCCAGCGTACACAACTGGATGTGCACAGAACCACGTGAACATACGCAGGACATCCCACGTGTGGCTGACTCCCCGACCCCTCCTTGACCATAACAGGTCATGAAAAAGGATCGCCCTGGCAGCTTTCTGCTTGAACTCACTTTTTAAAAAAACAAGTCCAGTGAAACCTGTCAAGGAACACGTTTACCTGCAGATGAACAAATACGTTTATAGGGCCTTCCTGGGGAGCCACAGCCAACACAAGCTGCCCCCTGTCTCTGCCACTAAGCTACGGTTCTCCCTGATGCTTAAGCCTCCAGGTGGCTTCAGCTGGGTCTCTTGTCTGCCAGACTGTGGCCTGTTCCTGCCATCACCCTTTCTTCCAAGCCTTCACGATCTGTGAGGACTAAACAGGGTGTTCTTCCCCTCTAAATTCCAAGCACGGAGCATAGGGCCTGGCCCATGGTGGGTGACCCTGGGTTTGGTGAGCAAGAAGCTGAGAGCTGCCCTCTGGGAAATCAGCTCCCCCTGTTAGGTCACAGTCATTTGTGCCTCCCCTGGGTCATCTAGGAGGAGACTGGCACCAGTATGCCATCCACGCTGAAGAAAAATAGGTATGTCAGGAATCTGTAAAGTATTAAAGATTACAGTTTAAAATGTTAGAACAGTGTGCTCTAAAATAAGAACCAGGGCACCTCAGTGGCTCAGTCGGTTAAGCGTCTTGCCTTTGGCTCACGTCATGATCTCAAGGTCCTGGGATCGAGCCCCATGTCTGGGATTGAGCATCTCCCTCTCCCCGCTGCTCGTGCTCTCTTTCTAGTGATTTCTCTCTCAAATCTTTAAAAAAAAATAAAGTGAGAACCAAATTAAAAAAAAAAAAAAAAGGCGGATTCGGTTCCAACCCCCAAGGAATGAACCATATCTCTTCCTCCCTAGCCTCCTCTTCATCCAGACAGACACCATTAGATGAACTAATCATCAGACTCAGATTTCCTAGAATGTGTGTGTTTACTAGTACTATGAGCTAAACCTTACTGAAATGAACACTTGATTTCTACACTCACAAAGAAATGTTCTCTCATTGCTGGAACAGGAGACAGCAGATAAGTAAAACAGTCCTCACCCTCAAGAAGCTCACGGATTAACGGGGGAGTCCGACCTGCACTAATGTGCTAACGAGTGTTCGGGGAGACAGCAGTAAGTACGCACAGAGGAGGGAGAACTTAATGTCACACTTCCAACCACTTCAACTCATCTCCTTTCACGGGAGCTTGTTACCCACTTCTTTACAAGCCATGGAAACTTGTAAATTTACACTGGATCCCCCAAACCTGATTTTCCCATTAAACTGTCCCACTAAGACCTCTTCCCAGTGAAACCATCACTGTGCCAAAAGTTACTGATGGGTGCCATGAAAGTATAGAGGAGCCATGACTATCTCCCTGGAGCTCACCCAACTTGCCCAGTACACCAGAAAGTCCTCCAGTGGCACTCAGCCCATAAATCACAAAATGATCCTTTTCTGCAAGGAAGTGATCTTAAGAGCCCCAAAGCCAATGTCACTCTTGTCGCCAAAGTAATCTAGAGTGTTCTGAGCTACTGCCTTTGTCACCTTGAAGGGTGGTGGGAGGCGTGGTCCTTGGGCCGAGGGAGTCTGGGTTCTGCAGGGGAGATTGAGGGGAGATTGACAGGCAGATAAGATAAGCTTTATAGGCAGCTGCCACACCTGTGCCTCCCCGATGGGAACACAGATGGTGACTGTCGCTATTTTCCCTTTCCAGGCTCAGTGCTTCCAGAATGCTGTCACCTCTTAAAGAAGCTCCCCTGGATACGCCCGGTCCGGTCTCATCTCATGCCAAAGCTTGGGTCAGAGTTTCAGCTTCTCTGGGCTGCAAAATGCTGATAGGCTCATCCTTTATCTACCACTGCCCGGTCAACTTCCTAACCAGATCCTTCTTTTCCTTTAAGAATGTAATATTCACCTTCACTAAAAGACTGGGGAAAGCCTGTATGTCCTAACACGGAAAGATGTCTGCCGTACACAGGCCGAGGAACCCAAGTCCAGGGGAGATGCTAATCTGTGAGAAAGACGGTGTGGGCAGTGCAGGGCTGACACACTCTGGATGGCTCAGCTCACGTCCACGTTCGAATCACTGCCTCGTGGTCCCGTGACCTCAGACGGCAGCTATTTCCACAGATCATTTCTTTCACTTGAATTACTACCTGTGCCAGACTCGATGCCTCAATGTCCCTTCATCTGTAAAAATGCAGACGGACAGTACCTACCTCTTTGGTCACTGGGAGGATTAAAGAGTTAATTACTGGAAAGTCCCTAATATCAGAGCTCAATAAATATTATAGGTGGGGGCAGATGTTAATAATGTTTCTTCTAGAGAGAATATTGAGGGTGAGTGGTTTCCCTTTTTATTTCATACACTCGTGAACGGTTTTCATTTTTGCCATGAGCTAGGGCCAGGCTAGAATTACCACTGAACTTAAGAAAGTAAGAAGCGGCATGCCTGTCCTTTAAACATAAATGTTACACTTTCAGCTCTTCCCAGGAGTCCTCTGAAAAGTCGGGCCCACTCGCCCTCCACCACAGGCTCCCTTCACCACGAGTGCATGTGCGAACGTCGGCATGAGCGTGTGCGGGGGGTTACTGTTCACGGCGTTTATATTATTTACACACACTCCACTATGTGCCTGTGCTGCTTGGGTTCTACCCAGCCCGGGAAGTCATGTCATTTGTGTGCTGGGCGGCTCCGGAGTTCCGGACAGCAGCGGCTGCCCGTTCTACCCCGCGGCGAGACACTGCCCAGAACGGGAACCACTGTAGGAGACGGTGAACCTGAAGACAGTCCATGGGCTCAGAAATGAAAGAAGACAGAATGTGGCGGGAAGGAGAAAAAGCTGCCTTGGAGCATTGACCTCACTCCTCAGCCCCTCAGCCCCACCTTCCACCAGGCGGCTGTGTCACCATGCACAGCCCACCCCACACAGACCACTTTCAGAAATTCCCTCCCACCCACATCACTTTAGGACAATAAGGAAGTACCCAAGAAAGAGGTGACGGGGCTGCTGCTAGGCCCTCAGACAACCGTAGAAAATAGACTTCTTCCCCCCAGGTCCCGGAGAACACAGAAATCATCGGTGCCAAGGAATTGACAGATTTAGGTGGAAAAAGAGAGGAGGGAAATTTGGGAGGCTGGAGCCCTGTGAGGGGAAAACCAGTTTGAACGGGATGACCTCAGGGCAAGGGAAACCCTGGCAGGTATCAGAATAGAGAAAGGAGGGGAAGAAATGTAATGCGGCTTCTATGAAGAAACTTAAGAGTCCCAGTAATTCACTTACCAACAAGCAGTGGGAACCCAGCCCATTTACAATTTGGAGACAACGTATATGGTCTCATTTGGGCTTCAACTTCCATATCTAACAAAAACTTTGTAACCACTGTCAAGGAGCTCAGAGCCTTATCCTTTTCAGGTGCTCAGTAAATATTTAATGATGACATAATGACACCTTGTATCTAGGTACAGACAGTCCTCGAGCCTGTGACTTTCACATTTGACCGTATGTCGCCATTGTTGAGCTGTGTGCTCTATCAGGTTCCTCCCCAGCCAGGATCCCAGGGAATCGCCCACAGCTCTGGCTTACCTGTTTGCTAGCTGCTGCTCGAAGTCCCCACATTGCCGCAAGAGCTCACCACAGGTGGCTATTATCCTAAACAAAACAAAACAAAAGCACTTCAAGTTCAAGTATCTGGAATGTTGACATTTACCGGACAAATACTGTCTCATTCATAAACATTCTAACTATTCACTCCTTTTGGGGGTGCTGGGTTCTGGAGAAGTGGTTAACCATTGGACAATCTACCTGACATGTCTCACTAATCAGTAATTCATGGAGAAGGGAAACTCGACTTCGTTCTAACATCCTCGAGTCACAGGCCTCTCTGCTGGGAATCGGGAGTTCTGTGCCACACGTCTCAAATAATCTTACATTTCCCAAATACTGAGGTGTGCTTTGGGGCTTTGTCCTTAATAAAATGGGTTGGAAATAGTTCATATCTAAAATTAAAAACGGGCACCTGGCAGGCTCAGTCTCAAAAGAGCATGTGACTCTTGAACTTGGGGTAGTGAGTCCGAGTCCACCTGGGGTGTAGAGACTACTTATATTTAAAAGCTTTAAAAAAAATAAAATAAAATTTAGAAATCAACAATACATTTAAAAAATCATTCACCACAATCAAGTGGGATTATTCCAGGGACGCAACAGTGGTTCAATACTTGCGGATCAGTCAACCTGATACATCACATCCACAAGAGAGAGCATAAAAATCATACAAGCATCTCAAGAGATGCAGAAAAAGCATCCGACAAAGTACAACATCCATTCATGACAAAAACTCTCAACAAAGTCGGTTTAAAGGGAACATACCGCAACATAGTAAAGGCCACATATGAAAAAATGAAAAACCCACAGCTAATATCATCCTCAATGGGGCAAAACTGAGAGCTTTTCCCCTAAGGATCAAGACAAGGATGACCACTCTATCCACTTTCATTCAACATAGCACTGGGAAGACCTAGCCACCACAATCAGACAAGAAAAAGAAATAGAAGGCATCCAGACTGGTAAGGACAAGGTGAAGCTTTCACTATTTGCAGATGACAGAATATAATATAGAGAACCCTAAAGACTCTACCAAAAAACCACTAGAACTGATTGATGAATTCCATTAAGTCGGTGGATACAAAATCAGTGTACAGAAATCTGTTGCATTTCTTGCACTAATCATGAAGAAGCAGAAAGTGAAAATTTCCAACTGCACCAAAAATAATAAAACACCTAGAACTAAACTTAATCAGACAAAAAGACCATATTCTGAAAACTATAAAACACTTATAAAAGGAACTGAAGATGATACAAATGGAAAGATGATTTATGCTCATAGTTGGAGGAGTCAATATTGTTAAAATTTCCACACTACCCAAGGCAATCTACAGATTTAATACAATCCCTAACAAAATACCAGCAGCATTTTTCATAGAACTAGAACAAATAACCTAAAATTCATATGGAACCATAAAAGACCCTGAAAACAGCCAAAGCAACCCTCAGAAAGATGAACAAAGCTAGAGGGATCACAATCTCAGATTTCAAGATATATGAGAGTAATCAAAACAGTATGATACTGGCACAGTAACAGTGACCAATCGCCAGAACAGAATAGAGCGCTCAGAAATAAACCCACACATATATGGTCAATTAATCTACGACAAAGGAGGCAAGAATAAACAATGGGGAAAAGACAGAATAAATAAACATCTTCAACAAATGGCATTGGGAAAACTGGACAGCCCCATGCAAAACAATGAAACCGGACTACTTCCTTACACCATACGCAAAAATAAACTCAAAATGGATTAAAGCTTAAATGTGAGGCCTGAAACCATAAAACTTCCAGGAGAAAATATAGGCAGTATTTCTTTGACATCAGCCATAAAAACATTTTTCTAAATATGTCTCCTCAGGCAAGGAAAACAAAAGTGAAATTTAACTATTGGGACACCACCACCAAAATAAAAAGCTTTTGCTTTTTGCAAAGGAAACCACCAACAAAACAAAAAGGCAATCTACTGAATGGGACAAGATGTTTGCAAATGATATATCCGATAAGGGGTTAACATCCAGAATATATAAAGAACATATACAACTCAACACCAAAAAAATGAAATAATCCAATTAAAAAATGAGCAGAGCAGATTTTTCCCAAGACAGACAAATGGCTAACAGACACATGAAAAGATGGTCAACATCACTCATCATCAGGGAAATACAAATCAGAACCACAAGGAGATATCACCTCACACCTATCAGAATGGCTACGATCAAAAATAAAAGAAATAATAAGCATTGGGGCACCAGGGTGGCTCAGTCAGTTAAGCATCCAACTATTGATTTCGGCTGAGGTCATGATCTCAGGGTCGTGAGACTGATCCCCGCATCGGGCTCTGTGCTGAGCCCAGAGCCTGCTTAAGGTTCTCTCTCCTCCTTCTGCCTCTTCCCCCAACTCACACTCGCTCTCTCTCTCTCTCTCTAAAGAATAGGAAGGAAGGAAGGAAGGAAGAAAGAAAGAAAAGGAGAGAGAAAGAAAGAAAGGAAGGAAGGGAAGAAGGAAGAGAGGGAGGGAGGGAGGGAAAGGAAGGAAGAAAGAAAGAAAGAAAAGTATTGGCAAGGATGTGAAGGAAAAGGAACCTTGCACTGTTGGTGGGAATGCAAACTGGTGCAGCCACTCTGGAAAACAGAGCTTCCTAAAAATTTAAAAATCCGTTTCTAAAAACATAGCTTCCTAAAAAAATTAAAAACAGAATTACCATATGCTCCAGTAATGTCACTATTGGATATATATCAAAGAAAAAAACCCCACTAATTCAAAATATATACCCATCCCTAAGTTGACTGCAATGTTATTTACAATAGCCAAGATACAGAAGCATAAATGAATGGACACAGTGTGTGATACATATATCTACAATGGACTCAGCCATAGAAAATGAGATCTTGCCATTTGCGACCACATGAATGAACCTAAAGGTATTATTCTAAGTGAAGTAAGTCAAAGACAATTTACCGTATGATTTCACTCACACGTAGATTTTAAGACACAAAGCAAAACAAAAGAGACAAACAGACTCTTGACTACAGAAAACAAATGATGACTGCCAGGGGGAGGAGGGTGGAGGGATGGGTGAAACAGAGAAAGGGGGTTAAAAAAATTAAATTAAAATTTAAAAACCAAAAGTCATTACTTAGTATTTGTTAGATGTCTGCTATTTGCAAGGCCAAGAAAACTGTTTTTATACTGTATCTCTCTCTGATCCCATGAAAGGCAGGTGAAGAGTAATCCATTTGGTTTCTCAGAGATAAGACTGAATGACCGTCATACCTTTACTTAATAATCTTTTAATTTTCAAGTAATTTTATGCTAGGCCCTAAAGTCCAGCAACCAAGTCCTTCAACACCAAACTATAAATGTCAGGACAAATCCAAGGATTAAAAACATCTGAAGTCTAGTTAATTTTTAACTGCTCTAAAAGTGCCTATCCATCACCAGGGTATCTGGGCATTCCATCATAAGAAAGGTTTATGAGAAAATGAAATATTCCACTTTCCACTTGCCTCGAATGCAACAGAATAACCTTGTATGTAGTATTTTCCAGTGTACCAAGCTGCCACACATGAAAGGGGGATACAGTTAGCATAGAGAACATTAAATTTCATCCCTCAAAATTAGAAGTCCAGATCAGAGCCCATGAGGAAATTATCCGAATGGCCCTGGGAGGTACTGGATCTGCTCTGATTAAAGACAGCGTTCAGGGGTGCCTGGGTGGCTCAGCTGGTTGGGCATCTGACTCCCGGTTTCAGCTCAAATCATGATCCCGGGGTCGTGGGATCGAGCCCGGAGTCGGACTCCATGCTCAGCATGGAGTCTGCTTCTCCCTCCCCCTCTGCCCCTTGCCTCGTTCTCTCACTCCCTGACAGAGAATAAATAAATCCTTTAAAAAAAAAAAGAAAAAAGAAAAAAAGATAGCTCTCAGAGGATCTGGACGTGCTCTGGTGTGGACCCACACTGAGAACTCCAAGCGTTGGGGGCACCCTGCGCACACTACCTAGGTCAGGGGTCAGGCAAGTGGGTGAAGGGCAACCACCCTCTTCAGAATGTCCAACCATGAAGAGTGGTTTTAAGGAAAAGAAATTCTGGGTTGTCATTTATCTCAGCCTGAGAGTAGAGCGGCTATTCCACACAGTAGCAGAACAGCGGCACAAGAGAATGTACGGCCAGGCTGGCAGGGACTTCAGTGACCAGTGCCGGGGAGATGATGCGAACCCACTGCTTCTAGGGCTTCCAATGTTTAGTTGATGTTAGAAATCTGGATTATGTTAAATCTGGTTTATAAATGTGGACAACGAAACCCAAATTTTGTAAGTGATGTGCTCAAACCACGTCTGTAGGTCAGGTCTGGCCATAGGCCAGAGGTCTATACTTTCTGGCTGGACCTTCTCAAGGGCCAAACCTTTGCAGGCCACTGCTGATCACACTCCCACCAGGGCTCAGGGCTTGGGGCAACGGGGTCTATCTAGTGGCCCACAGGTCACAGGGGGCTACCCCAGGATCTAGCCATCAACCACCACTTGGAAGAGTGACCACAAAGCCTGTTATGAACTCTAACATGGTCCTTTAAGGCCAGATAATGTTGCCTTACCACTTAGTGGTATGGTGTTTAGATCTAAACAGAATCTGGGGTCCCTGGCTGGCTCAGTCAGTGGAACGTGTGACTCTTTATCTCGGGTTTCTGGGTTTGAGACCCATGTTGGGTGTAGAGATTACTTAAAAAAAAAATCTTACAAAAAATTTTAAAAATTTTAAAAATAATAAAAATAGGATCTAATCAGCTACATATTTTCTAAAATATAAGTTCCAAGTTATTTTAGCCTGAAAAATTATAGGCTAAGGGGAAAATAAATCTCAAGCCAAATATAAAAAAATACGTCACCAAAGGAGATGAGGCGTAACAAAGACTAAAATGCTTTAACAGTGAGGGGCGTCTCTCTGGGCTGTTGTTGCCACTGCTGCTGTTTTTAATTGGCTTATTTTTAGAGTTTGCTTTAAAAAAAAAGAAAGCAGTGAGGAAAAAAAAAATGAACCCCTTAAAAGCATGCTCATCAGGGGCGCCTGGGTGGCTCAGTGGGTTAAAGCCTCTGCCTTCAGTTCAGGTCATGATCTCAGGGTCCTGGGATCAAGCCCCATGTTGGGCTTTCTGCTCAGCAGGGAGCCTGCTTCCCCCTCTCTCTCTCTGCCTGCCTCTCTGCCTACTTGTGATTTCTGTCTGTCAAATAAGTAAATAAAATCTTTAAAAAAAAAACAAAACATGCTCATCAATTTTACGTATTCTAGGATGCATGTTTCTGCCTACTACATGGGGCACACATTTAAGTTACAGCCCTCATTTTTACCTGATGGAATTCTGAAAAGCTGTCCAATCTTCTTGAAAAAGTGAGTTGGGAGGAATATCATCGAGCTTACACTTCTTTCGTATTGACTGGAGAGTGCTGGTGAAATCAGACACGTACCTATGCGGAAAGAAAAAAAACCCGACAGGGATGTTGTCATAAACTCCTCGGCTCTAAAGACACCTGAAATCATGTGGCTTTGGGAAAAGGGCTAAGGACCCTGAGAGCATCTTTAGAGGCTCCCACCAAGGAGTCAGTTAGCCTGTAAAATCTGACCACAGCAGGGTCTTCTCTGTATGGCCGGACCATCTTTCTCACCTGGAAGGGCGATTTAAGAGAGATGCTCAAGACGAGACAGAAGGGGAGAACCACTAAGACGAAGATTCTGGTGACCCACCAGGTGAGAAGTGGTGCTGAGAAATGACTCCCTGGCCCAAAGAACTGTCCTGACATGTCACAGGCCCATGATGATACCTGACCGCCACCCAGCATACTGTAAGGCAGCTCGCCAATGCACAGGGTACTCTTGCAGGATTCCCGGCCCCCTCCCCGCCCCCAATTTAGATTAAACAGCCAAGCTCCACAGCAGGCAGGTTCCCGGCTTGAATGGCACAGGATGTGAAATGGATTCGAAGCTGAGGTATCTCCCTCCCGCCAGTCTGCTGTCTGCTCCCCCAGACCCCAGCTGCTTCCCTGCCCAGCACCCAGCACAAGTACAAGTCCATCGCTTCTTTCCTGTGTGTTTAATGTATGTGCTGTAACCAGGTTAGAAGCTCCGGAGGAACAGGGACTATGTCCTTGTGGCTCATAAGTGTCCCCAGGAAGGAGCTCAGAGCTGGGAACAAAAGAGACACCTGGGAACAGTTCCTGGATGAATGCAAGACTTGCACTGGGGCCCTGAGAAAGTATCTGGGTGTCTCTGGGACTGTTTTCTCATCTTTAAAATGGACTTAATGAATGGTGTCTTCTACATTACCTCAAGGAATTGTGATGATCAAATAAATGAAATAGGGGTTTCTGGGTGGCTCAGTCAGTTAAGCGTCGGACTCTTGGGTGTCAGCTCAGGTCACAATCTCTGGGTCATGACACAATCTCTGGGTCATGACACTGAGCCCCACATCGGGCTCTACGCTCAGTGAGGAGTTTGCTTGTCCCTCTCCCTCCTCTCGCGCAAGCTTGCTCTCTTTTGCCAATGAATAAATAAAATCTTTAAAAACTAAATAGATGAAATAATATATACAAAAGTTCTTTGAAAAGAATAAAAGGAAAGCTGATGTGGGGTGGCGTTGTTTTCTGAGGACATACACTTCCTCGAACATGAACGAATGTGTGCACGTCCTTGGGAGGGTATGATGAGGAGGACACAGGTGAGCAGGGGTCTTATTCTCTGGAAACCACGAGGCTCCCTGAAAACCCAGGACACCTGTGTGCATCACAAGAAGCCTGACCTTGCTCCCTTCCCAAACCACAAACCCTAAGTAAGGAAGGTGGGTTGTGCCCCACAGGGCACAGCCCTGAAGACAGTTTTCTTGGGGAGATCGGTCCTTGGTGGATGGGGAGGGGCCTCAAGGACCACCTGACAGAGGGATGCTGAGGAACATAATCGTGCTTCAGCGGCAGGTTGAACAACTGGGCCACCATCCCTCGACTATGACAAACGTGTCTTACAAGAGTGTGCGACCCGCCGATGGACCTGCTTGGTAGCAGCTCATGACAGCGTTCCCAGGTTGCAGAGTAGGCAGGAGAGCACTGGAGCGGGGGCGGGAGGGCGGGTCCCCAGTTCAGCCACACTGTGTATCACATCACATTTTCATCACATTTATCCCCAGATTTTCCAATTCTCTCTCACGATCAACATCTCCAGGTGTCTCCACCACGTAAGGGTCGCTGTGTTGGGGGCTTTAATTACCTGCTTGCACTTACTAGCCAAGAATGCCACGGGGAGAGCCTCATCACTCGGAGAAAAGACGTCAGGACACCAAGACATCCCAAGCAGTAAGCATCAGAGCCTGGCAGGGCTCCAACACCAGAGCCCACACTCCCGGCATAGCTGGAAAGCCCCTGATTCTGAAACCCCTTCTCACTTGTTATACTCTTCGACCTCACCCTGGTTCACGTTAGGCCAGGCCCCTCCTGCCTCCCCTCCATGCTCCGTCCTGCCATCCCCAATACCCCTCCGTATGACTGAACGGTGTCCCATCTCTACCCCGCTCGGGTTAGCGTCACACTGATTGCCCTATTTTACAGACAGCAGCTGCTGGGGTAGCTTCCAAATCTTCCCTTCTCGAGGTGACCTAGTTTCACCATGGCCCTTCTCTACAGTTTGAATTTTTAATATAGATTTGTGTTATTTTTTTTTTTAAACTAAGGAATCTAAATAACCAACAGAAGAACTACCTCACTCACAACAGCTGAGAAGAGCAGGAGATGAGAGAGAGGAACAGCCTTATACACATTAGTTCCTCAAGATACAATAGTAAGGGATGGGGCGCCTGGGTGGCTCAGTGGGTTAAAGCCTCTGTCTTCAGCTCAGGTCATGATCCCAGGGTCCTGGGATTGAGCCCTGCATCGGGCTCTCTGCTCAGCGGCAAGCCTGCTTCCTCTTCTCTCTCTCTCTGCCTGCCTCTTTGCCTACTTGTGATCTCTGTCAAATAAATAAATAAAATCTTTAAAAAAAAAGATACAATAGTTAAGGTTGATTTAAAAACTCCTTTAAAGTACGGAGGAAAGGGCTGAACATCTTCTTTTGAAGGAATAAAAGCAAAATGTTCAAAAGTGGGTATTTTGGGGCGCCTGGGTGGCTCAGTGGGTTAAAGCCTCTGCCTTCAGCTCGGGTCATGGTACCAGGGGTCCTGGGATCGAGCCCCGCATTGGGCCCTCTGCTCGGCGGGGAGCCTGCTTCCTCCTCTCTCTCTGCCTGCCTCTCTGCCTACTTGTGATCTCTGTCTGTCAAATAAATAAATCTTTTTTAAAAAAAAAAAAGTGGATATTTTTTAGCAGAAAGACTAAGGGTGGGAGGAAGACTTTCACATTTTTATACCTTTACGTGTTTTTTAAAAATTACTCTAATGCAGGCCCCTGGGTAGCTCAGTTGTTAAGTGTCTGACTTCAGCTCAGGTCATGATCCCAGGGTTCTAGGATCAAGCCCCAGATGGTGCTCCCTGCTCAGCGGAAAGCCTGTTTCTCCCTCTCCAACTCCCCCTGCTTGTGTTCCTTCTCTCTCGCTTGCTCTCTCTCTAATAAATAAATAAATAAATAAATAAATTTTTAAAAAAATTACTCTAATGTATTATTTTTGTTATTTCATAATAAAATTTTTAGATCCCAATAAAAAAGTTCTTTCTATCCACAAAATCTTGGTTAGTGGTGGAGACAGAAATTGGCCAATTCTGTCCAATGAGACTTACTGCTCATACTTCTCTTTCTACGGGCACACATCTGGATTTATCTGGTTACTCCTCGATCTGAGAGCAGCGCCTGTGTCCTTGGTGGCCCTACTGCCTCCACCCTGAGCTGCCCTCCGATGGTGCTGACCACCTGCTGCGGTGACCGAGAGCTCTGGCTCCACGGACCTCAGAGCTCACAGTGGCGTGCCCAGTATTTCTGGAATGACAAGAGCTCCCTGAACTTACTATAGGAAAACAGCATTCTGCTCAATTAAGAAAAAAAAAAAATTCTTGTGGGACACCTGGGTGGCTCAGTTGGTTGAGCATCTGGCTCTTGCTTTTGGCTCAGGTCATGATCTCAGGGTCGTGAGATCAGGCCCCACGTGAGGATCCATGCTGAGTACGGAGCCTGCTTAAGATTCTCTCTCTCTCTGCTGCCCCTCACCCCACCCCAAGCCTGCACGCACTCCCTCTCTCTAAAACAAAATAAGAAATAAAAATAAATTTCTTAAGACTGAGGGCAACTATAATCTAGAACAAGCTACCAAGAGAAGGGCTTTGGAGAGCCCGAGAATGTGCCTGTGTGGAAGCCGGAGACTGGAGCTCTGACCACCTGCGGGCCGTGGCGCCTGGACTGTGCAGGTCCGAGAATCCAGCCTCACACAGCCTGCTCGCTTGTTCTGTCTTCTAACTAAATGTCACTTCGCGTCCTCTTCTTTCTTCCTTCACACAGCTCTGCTGCGATGTAATTCACACACTGCACAATTCACCCATTTAAAGAGCACAATTCAACAGTTTTCAGCGTTGTCACAGAGCTATGTGACCATCACCACAGTCAACGTCATAACATTTTCATTGCCCGAAAAAGCAGCCCTGTCCCTTTTAGGAGTCACCCCCAACCCCTCCAGGTGCCCACCTCTCCTCAGCCCGAGCCAACCATCAATTTTCTGTTTCTATCGACTTGCCTGTTTTGGACACTTCCTATAGGCAGAATCATAAAACACATGGTCTTTTATGACTGACTTCCTTCACTTAGCTTGTTTATATTTTTTTCATCTTATCTTTTTAATTTTACATAAGAAATGTGTGAACATATGCTCCTCTTCTAAAAGTCAGAAAACAACAAATAAAGCTGAATTCCCTATGAACACCACCCTACTCCTTCCCCGCCTCCCCATCCCCCCGATGTTTTGAGTTTATGGCCTAACGTTCCACACATCAGGGCTGAGCAAAATTTTCTGCTAAGGTCCAGATATTTTAGGCTTTGCAAAACCCAAGGTCTGTCCTAACTATTGACCTCTACCTTCATAGACCATAGGTAAGTGAAGGGGCATGGTTGCATCCCAATCGGCTCATGAGCTAGTTTGTTGACACCCATTCTACAGGAATATATAACGCATGTTAAAGCATTAAAATAGATCCAGAACAGGGATTGGTACTTTCAACTTTTTTGTAAAAGTTTTCCTGAAATACGGTCACACCCATTCATTTACGTGTCATTTACAAAAGTCTCTACTGACTGCAAGGCCCACAGAGCCAAAATGCTTACCATCGGGCCCTCTGAGGAAAAAGCTCGCTGAACCCCACTATGGAAAATATACCTTATTTTTTGTATGTTCTTTTTACATACTGTATTGGACTCTACATAATATTCTGCAACTTTTTTCCACTGGACACCATATTTTGGAGATCCATCAATGTGGATATACGTTGATCTAATTAAGGCTGTAACTGCCAAACAGAGTTCCCTCGTATGAACATGTACATTATTTAGTCATTGCCAAATTCATGGACATTCAGGCTGCTTCAAATGTTCCACTATCGTTAATGGTGCTACAAGGAATATCCTTGAGATTGCCCCCTCAGGGGGATAAAAACAAAGATTGCCCCTTCGGGGAGTAGGTGGAGGGAATGCCTGAGAGTGGCTCAGTTGGTTAAGTGTCTGCCTTCAGCTGAATTCATGATCCCAGAGTCCTGGGACTGACCCCCCTGTCAGGCTTCTTGTTCAGTACTGAGCCTGCTTCTCCCTCTCCTCCCCACCCATGCTCTCTCCCACTATCTCTGTCTCTCTCTCTCTCGAATAAATAAAATCTTTAAAAAAGATTGCCCCGGGCTCAGGCACATGTGCTACTCCAGGGCTCAGAGCAGGAAGGCAGAACACACGCATTTTTAACTGGGGCAGACAGCACCCGCTGTGTGACCTGTCCCCACACCCAGCCTTACTTGGCAAAGAGGGATTTCAGTGCTGCCAGCAGGCCGCAGGTCCCCAGGCCGTTGGTGAATCTGACACATCTGTCGACGGCGGCAGAAGCCAGGCCAAAGAGCTTGTTCACGGAGTGGCTCAGCTCCTGCACGCAGTCAATGACCTCCCCGTGTTCCTGGTCAGCAAACATGGACAAATGAGGGCCGCCTCAGACTCAAGAACAGATGAACAGACAACATTAAGATGGAGGAAATTTCCAAACCTCCCGGCGCGTGGTCAGGCAGCAGAAACGCAGCCCCAAGCTGCGGAGCTCTTCCAGAGCCCGAGCCAAGGGCAGGACATCTACGTGGCCAGTAAGATCACACACACCAATCCATGGGGGAAAAGCCTTCCATTTTTCACCTCTTTTCTATTTTTCTGACGCGAATTAAGATGGCATCTCCCCTCTGGCTCTAAAGCTAGAATTCAAATCCTCTGTATCGAACACTCCAAAAGAATGCAGCGAAAGGAAAATCTTCCTTCAGGGGCAAGAATGTAACTGAGGCGGAACGGACTTTCTAGGCACATCACTAGAAAACGGAAAAATGGCAGGAGGCAGCAGAGTTTAACTAGTGTGAGATCTGCTCTTAAATGTCAACTCGCGTCATGCTAGATCACCCTAATACTGGCAACGGGAATGCCTTCCCTCACCCTCGGAGGCCCACCCGAGTGAACCTGCCCCTGGGGCACCGTTCCTGAGTGCTCGGCTCCTGTGCTCATCTGCACCCAGGCTCTGTGAGGCTTTGAGAAGCCCAGTCTAAGATCACGGATTGGTCCTTGCTTCTCAGGGCCAGAAACCACTGACAGCAACCAAGAGAGGACAACAGAGAAAAGGGTTTCTTCCCTGATTCTCCAGTCTCAAAATATCACCCTGACTATAAACTCCTCGAGGGCAGAAAACACCACTTGTTCGTGCTTTTCTAGTTTCTAGCACTTAAAGTAATGTCAGTATGCAGTAAGTGCTCAGTAAATGCTCATCAACTAAAAAAAAGAAAAAGAAGGGGGCGCCTGGGTGGCTCAGTCATTAGGCGTCGGCCTTCAGCTCAGACGCAAGACTGCCATAGTAAGAATTCATTATCTGGGAGATCATCAACTTTCCCCTCAAATATTTAAGCTTCTCATTCTGCTGGACCTTTATTTGAGATTTTAAATAGAAAATCAGTAGCATCTCCATAGTCTCATTTTACACCTGGATTGCAAGAGTCCACTGGGTACTTAGAGCCTGTTTTTTTGCCGGCCCCCCATTCCCAGTCTTTGCACCCCAACCCCCTCCCTGGGGCTGGCAAACCAGAGGCTCCCTGCCCGGCCACCGGTGGGACTGGGCCATTACCAAGGGCACCGCGCTGATCTGGATGAGGACGCTCTTCTCTTCCAGGTCGCCGTACTTCAGCTGGTAGGGTTTGTATGGACCATACACAGCCTCCACCAGTTCCGTGACTTTCACCAGGTTGTACTCATCTTGAGGGGATCAAAAATTAAAATCGATAATGAACAAAGGGGCCAAAATTGCTGGAAAGCAACGGGTGATGGTACTCTGCTGGAACTTGTCTGGTTTCACCTTAGGGGTGACTGCATTTTGTTAATGGGCTGTGGCTGTTCGTGGAAACTGCAGCAATCACTTCAGTAAATAACTTGGAGGAACTTGGGCTCTGGGTGTGATTTGTCCAGAGCACTGTTAAAGATGCCAACTCCCTGCATCCCACAACCCACCGTGGCTAAGAATCACTTCAAATGATAACTCTAGTCAAGAGCCAGTTCCAGAAGTGCTACAGAGAAAAGGGTCTGCTTGAATATTTTTCCAGGACTTTAGAGACAGGATACCTCATATACTAGGCATCCCCAAAATTCCTATATTCGCCTACATAAAAAAAAAAAAATTACAAAGCATGTTTGTACCAAAAATCGAAATGGGCACCTTCCAAGACATAGCAACTCAGCTTCTAGGCTGAATACTGACACCCAAGTGACTTCAGAATCCACTGATAAGCCTTGCCTGAATAAACTTTTACACTGCTGTTTATAAAATGATTTCCTAATCCTCTTGTTCCTTCTAGATCTACTTGCAGATCTTCTCTTATAAAGAAAAGATTTTCCTTTCTCGCTCTCTTTAATATAATAAATCCCATGAACTCGTGGATTCTTCCATATTCATGGTGTTATGATCCACTATTGTCATTATCCGCTTTGACGCTCAAATTGTTTTGAATTTGGTCAGCGGTGGCCCCTTCAGGTTGCCTCCTGAAATCTTTCTGACGTGTCCCTAATCAGCCTCTGAGTGCCTCAGCGGGAATCCAAAATCTTTTCTCTAGCCTGCAAGGACCCACGCAGGCTTGACCTGAGGAGGTGAAAGAGACAGGCAGTGGCGAGTGAAGGTTCTTCTGTCCAGGCTCCCCTGCCTCCTACTTATTATGTCACTGTGTACAATGACGGAACTCTGGAGGCCTGTTTCCTCAACTATAAATTAATATTAATAAAGGCACCAATCTTATAAGACCTTAGTGGGGATTACATAAAATCTGTGTCTAGCATGTGGGAACACTCCATAAAAGCCAACTCTTTTTATTTTTAACTGCCCCAGGCTTTCCTCCTTCACCATCCCCCTGGCCCCCAGCCTTCTCTCAGCTCCTCGGACACATAGGGCTCCCTTCCGGTCATGTGCCGATGCTTCTGTCCGGAAGGATCTTGTTCTCCCTTATCCTCTGGCATCTGGTCACCTCCCCGTTTTTCTTCCAGGACTCACTCAGCTCAAGTCACCAGGCTCGATCGGCTTTGTTGGCTCACATATGCTCCTAGAACCACTTTGTTTTTCTTCAAAGTACTCATCTCATTTTGTAATTATACACCCATTACTATGATCATTAGATTATCTCCCACCGGAATAGATGATGGGTGACAGCAGGGACAGTCTGGTTTTGCTCGGCAGAGCAACCTCAGCATCCAGCATTCCAGTACTCGTCCATTTGTAGTTGAATAGAATAAATTAAACACATTGTGATCTATCTATAAAGCAGTCACGAAAAATAACTGGGCATCTACATATACAAAACACACACACAAGTTGGGAACCAGAGATGCAAGTGGGAAGACAGAAGCTACGAACCTGTGGTGGTGGATCTGCTTTGGAATGATCTAGAACAATCCACTGTTCTAATTCTTTGGAACAAACTAGAAATATGCATTTCCTAGCTCTGTCCAACAAAAGGCCCTAGAAGCCCAGCAACAATGAGTACCCTCGGTGTCCAGACCTTGCTCTAAATACCATTTACCACTAGAAGAAACCAGGCTCCTTGGTAAAACACAGGTCTGAGGCAGGGAAGGTATGTGTTCCTGGAACAGTTTGTGCCAAACAGCAAGAATGCACTTAAAGACTGATGGGGACACGCTGAAAAGATCCAGGAGGCAGCCCAAAGGGGCAACAACTGACCAAATTGGAAATAATTCAAGCATCAAAATGAATAGTGGCAACAACAAATCATAACACAATGAGTAAAAAAAGAATCCAGGAGTTCACAGTGATATGAAAGTGAGGAAAGGGGCCACCAGGCTGGCTCAGTCAGAAGACCATGAGACTCTTGACCTCAGGGTTGGGAGTTCGAGCACCACATGGGGTACAGAGATTACATAAATAAATAAAACTTTTTTAAAAAGTGAGGAAAGAAAGGGAAATCTCTTCTTTCTAAAAGAAGGCCACAAATAGATGTAGAAGGAAGCAGAGAATTAGGAAATCATCATTTTATAATCAGCAGTGTAAAAGTTTATTCAGGCAAGGATTATCGATGGAAGCTAAAGTCACTGGGTAAATATTTTTTGAGGATTAGCATATTTCTATGGGCTCAAGGCATCACTCCATGGGTTAATTTTTTTAAGATTTTATTTATTTATTTGAGAGACAGGTGGAGAGTGAAAGAGAGCATAAGCGGTGACAAGCAGAGGGAGAAGGAGACTCCCCGCTGAACAAGGAACCAGATGTGGGACTCAATCCCAGGACCCTGCATGACCTGAGCTGAAGGCAGACGCTTAACCGAATGAAGCATCCAGGCACCCTAAGGATTACTTATGAGTTTCAAAGAGGGAGAAGTACCTTTACAATGGAGAGATCTAGTGGATACATCTACTAAGTGATTAATCCAACCATCACCAATGACTGGACATTAAGTGTCTCCTGACGTGGTGCCACAGGAAACACACCCCATCATCAATGCAGCATTCTTGCCAAAATATTTCATCTAAATTTAATCTTCAGGAATCAATCAGACAGTTCCAGAATATGGGACATTCCACTAGAAAACTACCCTGTATTCTTCAAAGAGGTGTCTTGAAAGACAAAAGAAAGATGAGATGACTGTTTCAGATTAAGAGATTAAAGAGACAAGACAACCAGATACAATGTGTATCAACGGATCTTGATGGGAGGCAGAAGTGGGGAAGCAGCTATACTTCTGTGGAAAAAAAAAAAAAAAACTTTTGGAGAACAAATGGAAAAATTCATATCTTAGGTGACATTATTGAGTAAATATTAAATTTGAGAGTTTTTTCCCCTCCCCCTAAATTTGAGGGGGTTAATACAGTAACAAAATACTCTTATTAAAAACATATTTAAGGGGGCACCTGGGTGGCTCAGTGGGTTAAGGCCTCTGCCTTCAGCTCAGATAGTGATCCTAGAGTCCTGGGATTGAGCCCCGCATCTGGCTCTCTGCTCAGCAGGGAGCCTGCTTCCCCCGCTCCTTCTCTGCCTGCCTCTGCCTACTTGTGTGATCTCTGTCAAATAAATAAATAAAATCTTTTAAAAAAAAAAAACATATTTAAGGAGCAGCACCTGAGTGGCTCAGTCCGTTAAGTGTCTACCTTTGACTCAGGTTTCGATCCCAGGGTCCTGGGATCGAGTCCCGCATCACACTCCCTGCTCAGCAGGGAGCCTGCTTCTCCCTCTGCCCCTCCCCCTGCTCCTGCTTTCTGTCAAATAAATGAAATTTTTTTAAAGATTTTATTTATTTCTGGCGTGCCTAGGTGGCTCAGTGAGTTAAGCCTCTGCCTTCGGCTCAGGTCATGATCTCAGGGTCCTAGGATCGAGCACCGCGTTGGGCTCTCTGCTCAGCAGGGAGTCTGCTTCCCCCCTCTCTCTCTGCCTGCCTCTCTGCCTACTTGTGACCTCTCTCTGTGTCAAATAAATAAATAAAACCTTCAAAAAAAAAGATTTTATTTCTTTCTTTTTTTTTTATAATTTTATTTTTTATAAACATATATATATATATTTTTTTTCCCCCAGGGGTACAGGTCTGTGAATCTCTTTATTTCTTTCTTTTAGAGAAAGAGGGAGAGGGAGAGAGGCGGGAGGAGTAGATGGGAGGGACAAGCAGACTCCCCACTGAGCAGAGACTGATGTGCAGCTCAATCTCACCCCCCCCAAGATAATGACCTGAGTCAAAAATCAAGGATCTGATACTTACCTGACTAAGCCACCCAGGTGCCCCAATAAATAAAATCTTTAAAAAAATAAATAAATTTAAAGCACAGCTGGATGGCTCAGTCAGTTAAGCGTCTGCCTTAGGCTCAGGTCATGATCCTGGGTCCTGGGATCACGACCCAGATCAGGCTCCCTGCTCACCGGTGAGTCTGTTTCTCCCTTTCCCTCTGCCCACCAACCTCCCCCGCACCAATGCATGCTCTCTTGCTCTCGCTCTATCTCAAATAAATAAATAAAATCTTTAAAAAAAGTAGTTAAGGATACAGAGACACTGTCATTCATAGAGAATCTGCACATGGATATAACACAAAATACTGTTTTTAGATGGGAGATGGAGAATGACCTTCCTTCTTTGTCTTTTCTGTTTTTTTTAATAATGAATGCCTGTTATTTGTTAATTACAAAATAAATTATCTCAAAAATTTCATTTTTCTATTGCAAAATCTTTCATATATTTCTAATCATGCCATGTACATGCATTAATTACTAAAATAGAAACAATGTTAAAGGCAAAATATAAAGTTTGAAAATATTTCTGCAACATACTTGATAAACAATGGGAAAAAAAGTCCTTACTCTATAAGGATATTTTGGGGAGGTACACCAAATTTTTAACAGTGGTTACATATGTATATATTTTCCATTTGTGGAAAATGTGTATTTATATTTGAATTACTGGGAGAAAATATAACAGAAGGCTGCCAGAGGCTCTCTCTGAGTGCTGAGGTGATGAATCATTTTTATGCTTCTGTATTTTTATTTTTGCGTAGTGAATCATTTTTATTCTCTTGTATTTTTATTTTTGTGTGTTTCTGAAGTATTTTTAGATTTAAAGAAATACTTTTTTGAAAACCTCAATAGGAATCCTTAAAAATCAAAATTTCTGTGGCTGGCTAACAAAGCACTTCCACGTCTGCTTCTTTGGAGGGTGGTCCTCTCTTCTTCAAGGACGTCCTTCACCAGCGGGAGGAAGGCGACCAGCCCTTCTGCACTTTGCCCTACCTTCATTCTACTGGGCCCTAGAAGGCAGCACGTCCTATGCTCTAGCCACTTGGACCCCGCATCCCGGTCCCCTGGAAGCTATCCACATCCCCCAGGCCTCTCCCACAACCGAGACCTGCCGAGTGAATGAGCCAAAACACCTATGATTCATCCGGAACTCGAACAATACACACACTCCCTGGAATGTACAAAGTAATTATACACAAATGTAATTAAAGAGAATAACTATTAAATAAACCAAGGTAGTGACACACAGCAGCCAAATGGCAGAACAAAGCTTCCTGAAACGATTTCCTGATTTGACAGCAGCATGTGTCACCAGATCTGTGCTACTTAAAAGTTTATGATGCTTTTAACTTACAGGGGACACAGGTAACATACCACTGCTGTGTTCCCAAATAGGAATCAGGAGTGCTTTGTTCCCAGATACAGCTGGGGAAATGCCCAGTTACCACCCTTAGTCCTGACATAGCCTCCCTGTCCTTAAGAACTTGCTGGTGCCCCATCAAAAAGCTCCTCTAACCTATCTGTTCTCTTAACTTACTTTTTAGGTTGAGTTGTCTGAGGTTTTATGATGCCTCAAAGGGAACAGGACTCCACCCTCCCAATGTAGCCGGCTGCCAACTCAAGGCCACCAATGTCCAGCTACCTCATTTATATTCTAAGCCCCTGCCGATGTACCCATCACGTTCGCAGAGCATACAAAGCCCCTAGTAGCACTGGGCTTGGTTAACAGGCAACAACCATTTCCACAATGGCCATGCTTTCCTGGAAGCGGCTTCTGTATCTGCTGAGAAGGAAAACAAGGATCCCTTCCAATTCTACAAGATCAGTCATCTAGAAGACAGGAAAACCCAGGCCCCAGAAGCTTCAAAAAGAGCAAGTGAAGACAAGCCACAAGGAATGTTTACGTGGGTGGGGGAGCTGCGCCATCTCCAATCCCTTGGCAAAGTGGGCGGTGGCGTCATAGAACTCCAGCAGCTTGAGAAGCTCCAGCTCAGGCCCTGCCCTCTCCAGGCTGGAGCTGAGGCAGTCGGGCAGAGTGGGCAGCAAGGCCCCCAGAGTCTGAATCAGCAGCACGGTCACCACCTCGTGGGGGTTCTTGAAAACCTGCAGCGAGACAGAGGTATCGGTATTAGCACACAGGGCCAAAGAGGAGCACACCTGTTAAAGAAGCAGTCTCTTGGGCTGCTCTCAGAGGAATCCCTCCAACAACTGGAAAGTGACCTGGTCAAGAGCTTTAAGCCCCAACCGATCCTTATCCCAAACTTGAGCAAGCTCAGAAGGCCAAGTAACCGGCAGAACTTGCAACCTGTCCAGAACAACTGGCTACTTCATGTCTATCACTGGCCCCAAGTGCCTCTTTCCCCATCTGTCACGCAGAGTATTGAGATGGCCACCCAAAACTGGCCAGCGAAGACTGTGTGGATGACAGTGCAGAAACTGGGAGTATGTGGGAGTTGGGGAACAAAATGGAATTGAAGAAGAGCAATTCGCTGAGTCAGGGCTGGAGGACATCTAGCCAGATTTGCAGAGCAGCCCACAGCCACCTCTCCCCTTGACACAGATCTTTGGTAAAGATGGATTTATCTTTTAGTCTAAGGACCACCAGGAAGAGTGTGTGCAGGGCCTTTAAGATTACAGATTTAGTTATTCGCTAAGAGTCTTTTCTTTTTCTGTTTCATATACTACTGATCTCTCATGGGCAAAACTGGAAGAATGTACACGGTACATTTAGAGAGGGGTTCTGATGGACACCCCTGTCTGTGATGCTTTTTTATCATAAAAATGCTGTTTTATCATAACATAACTTAAATACGCACAAACATGAAAACAAGATATAACGCCATTCCCAGGTAACTCTAAGGCCAAAAAAGGTGTAAGCTTAAAACCTGTAAGATCAATAAACTCAAATTTTTAGGAGAAAATACCCTGAGAGGAAGGAAAATGAAAGCACAACTTCTCCAAAGTTATGGGACACAGCAAAAGCAACACTAAGAGGGAAATTCGTAGCTTTAAACACATACATTAAAAAGGAATAAATATCTCAAATCAATAACCTAACTGTACACATTAAGGAAAAAGAAAAATAAGAAACTAAACCCAAAGTTAGCAGAAGGAAGGAAAAAATAAAGATTAGAGCAGAGGTAAATGAAATAAAGAATAGAAAGTAATTTTAAAAATCAACAAAACTAGTAGGTTCTTTGAAAAGACCAACAAAACTGACAAACCTGGTATCTAGACTGACCAAAAAAAAGAAGCTTTCAATTACTAAGATCAGATATGAAGGTGAGTACATTTACTACAATTTTACAGAAATAAAAGGGATTATAAGAGAATATGATGAACAATTATATGCCAACAAATTAGGTAACTTACATGAAGCAGACAAATTCCTAGAAACACAATTTGCCAAAACTGATTGAAGAAGAAACAGAAAGTCTGAATAGTCCTATAACTAACTAGGAAGGAGGCAGAATCAGTAATCAAAAACTGTGTTGCCCCAAAATTTACATGTTGAAGTCCAAATCCCCAGTATCCCAGAGTGTGACTAGCTTTGGACCTAGGAGCTTTAAAGAGGCAATTAAGGTAAAATGGGTCATCTAGGTGGGCCCTTATCCAATCCGAGTGGTGTCTTTATAACAAGAGAAGATCAGGACACAGACACCAATAGAAAGAAAGCATAGGTAGAAGACTGCCACCAGCAAGCAGAGAGAGGTCTCAGAAGAAATCAACCCTGCCAATACCATGATCTTGGACTTCTAGTTCCCGGAACCATAAGAAAATAAATTTCTATTCTTAAACCATCCAGTCTGTGATATCTAGTTATGGCAGTCCTGGCAAACTAATACAAAACACTTCCTAACTCATTCTATGAAGCCAGCATTAACCTGATACCAAGGCCAACCAAATACTAAAAGAAAATTACAGACCATTTCCTTATAAATACACAATCAACAATACCCAACAAAATAATAATAAACTAAATTCAGTAACCATATTAAAAAGGATTATATACCATAATTAAGTAGAATGGATCTCCAAAATGAAGAGTGGCTCAATATATAAAAATTAATCAATATAATGGACTATATTAACAAAATGAAGGGAAAAAAACGCACGACCATCTCAGTTAATGCAGAAAAAAGCATCTGATAAAATCCAACACATTTTATGTTAAAAAAAATAAGATAAACAAACAACCAAAAAACTCAATAAACTAGGACTAGAAAAGAATTTCCTTAACATGATAAAGGTCACACAAGAAAAACAGCTATCATACCCTACGGTGAAAGGCTGAAAGCTTTTCCCCTAAGGCCGGGAACAAGATAAGTATGCTATTTTATTAACACAGTATTGGAATTTCTAACCGGAATAGTACAACAAGAGAAAGAGATAACAGGCATCTAAATTGTAAAGGAAGAAAAAAATTATCTCTGTTCATAAACTATATGATCTTATATATAGAAAACCCTAAAGAATTCACACACACAACCTGTTAGCATTAATAAATTCAGCAAAGCTACAGGATATAAAATCAACAAACAAAAATCAGTTGCGTTTCTATACACCAGCAATCAATAACCCAAAAAGGAAATTAAGAAAACAATACCATTTATAACAGCATCAAAAAGAATAAAATGCTTAGGAATAAACATAACCAAGGAGCTAAAAGACCTGTTTGCTGAAAACAATGAAAAACTGCTGAAGAAATTAAAGAAAACACAAATAAATGGCAAGACCATCCTGTGTTCATGGACTGGAAGACTTAATACTGTTGGAGCACCTGGGTGGCTCAGGTGGTTAAGCGTCTGCCTTTAGCTCAGGTAATGATCGCAGGGTCCTGGGATGGAGCCCCACATCAGCCTCCTTGCTCAGCCTGCTTCTCCCTCACCTTCTGCTGTTCCTCCTGCTTGTGCTGTCAAATAAAGAAACAAAATCTTTAAAAAAAAAAAAAAAAGAGAGAGAGAGGGGGCACCTGGGTGGCTCAGTGGTTTGAAGCCTCTGCCTTTCAGCTCAGGTCATGATCCCAGAGTCCTGGGATCGAGTCCTGCAGAGAGCCTGCTTCCCTCTCTCTCTCTGCCTGCCTCTCTGCCTACTTGTGATCTCTGTCAAATAAATAAATAAAATATTTTTTTAAAAGAAAAGAGAGAGAGAAAAGAAAAAGAAGAATGAGGGCGCCTGGGTGGCTCAGTGGGTTAAAGCCTCTGCCTTCAGCTCAGGTCATGATCCCAGGGTCCTGGGATCGAGCCCCACATCGGGCTCTCTGCTTGGCTGGGAGCCTGCTTCCCTTCCTCTCTCTCTGCCTCTCTCTCTGCTTGTCTCTCTGCCTACTTGTGATCTCTGTCTGTCAAATAAATAAATAAAATTAAAAAAAAAAAAAAAAGAAAGAAAGAAAAAGAAGAACGACATTGGGAAACTCTCACTTCCAGATCTCAAAACTTACTACAAAGGTACACTAATCAAAACAATGTGGCACGGGTATAAGGATAGACACATAGTCCAATGGGATAGATAGCCTAGAAATAACCCATCACATACAAATAATTTTCAACAAGAGTACCAAAACCATTCAATGGGCAAAGGACAGACTTTTCAACAAATGCTGCTCTGAAAACTGGATATGTACATGCAAAAGAAAAACACTGTAACCTTACTTTGCACCATTACAAAAAAATTAATTCAAAATTAATCAGATCCAAACATTAAGAGTAAAGTATAAAAATCTTAGAAAAAACATTTGTTTGGATGCCTGGGTGGCTCAGTCAGTTAAGCATCTACTCTTGGATTTGGCTCAGGTCATTATTTCAGGGTTGTGAGACTGACACCGCATTGGGCTCTGCGCTCAGTGGAGACTCTGTGGGATTCCTTCCCACTGGGGAAAATCCTCATGCCCTTGGATGTGGCAATAATTCCCAAGCGTGACACCAAAAGCAGAGGCAACAACAACAGAAAAACAGATAAATTGGGCTACATCACAATTAAAAACTGTGCATGAAGGAACACTGCAAACAGACTAAAAAGACAACCCATGGGATGGGAGGAAATACTTAGAGATCATATATCTAATAATAAGGGATTAACAGCCCAAATACAGATCAAACTCAAAACATAAAACCAAAAACGCAACTCAAAACTGGGCAAGGACTTTAACACGTTTCTCCATAGAAGATGATAAAATGGCTGATAAGTGAAATGGTGCTCAGCGTCAGTAGTTCTTAGGAAAACACGAATCAAAACCACTTCACATCCACTAGGACGGCTATTATTTTAAAAAAAGAAAGAAGGGAGCACCCAGGTGGCTCAGTCGGTTAAGCATCTGCCTTCAGCTCAGGCCATGACCTCAGGGTCCTGGGACTGAGCCCCACAATCAGGCTTCCTGCTCAGCAGGGAGTCTGCTTCTTCCTCTCCATCTGCCCCTCACCCTCTATACATGCTCTCACACTCTGTCTCTCAAATAAATAAAATATTTAATAAACAAAAGGAAAAGAAAAGAACAAGTGTTAGAGTGGATGTGGAGAAACTGGAACCTTCATACATTTGCTGGTGGGAGAGTAAAGTGTTACAGCTACTGCGGAAGACAGTCTGGTGGCTCCTCAAAAGGTTAAAAAAGATATGATCCGGCACTTCCATTTCCTGCTGTACAGCCCGAAGAACTGACAACAGGGACCCAAACAAGTCCCATGTTCACATCAGCATGATTCACGATAGCCAAAAGGTGGGAGCGATCCAACTGTTTATCAACACATGAATGGATCAACAGAACATGGCAGATACACATAATGAAATATTCAGCCACAGAAAAGGAATGGAAAATTCCAGTATCTGCCACAACACGGATAATCCTTGAAAATATTATGTTAAGTGGAATAAGCCAGACACAAAGGACGGGTACTGTACAATTCCACTTCTAAGAGGGATCTAGAATAGGAAAATAGAGACAGTAGAACAGAGGACAACCAGGCCATGGGGGAGAAGGGCTTGGGGAGTTACTGCTCAATGGGCACACAGGTTGGGATGATTAAAAAGTTCTGGAAACAGTGGTAACAGTTAATCAACACTGTGAATATGCTCAATGCTGCTTAACTGTACACTTAAAAATGGTAAAT